TTCAATTATAAACGTAGGAACCATATAACTAATTTATATATATTTAAAAATTTTATTTAATATGTGTAATTAATAGAGATAATTTGAAAAAATTATAAATTTAGAAGGAAAAATAAATTAAAATATTATATTTAAGAATAAACTAAATTTCTCAATAACTGGTTTTTATTTAAACTTTGAGGGAGTAATAAAGTTGATGTGAAGTTGGCATTACTCTAGTTTGAGCTATGGTTCTCTCTATTATATATATATATATATATATATATATATATATATAAAACATTAAGACAGAGAGAGAGAGATAGAAAAGTGAAAGTGGGATCAAAGTGTGATGATTTAAAGGAGAGAATATGGAAGAGACAAGATGATGATGGTGAGAGTAGATAGCATTTTGCAATTCAAGTACAATCAAGCAAATTGGGGGTGACCCCTACATCTCCAAGAAAATAAAAAAGTCAATGATCATATCACTTTCAATGGCAACTATAATAATTCTTATGGCGTATACGTTCTTTATTTTACAAATTGATTTTTTATGATAGATTTCTTATATTTATTTAGATATATTGGTCAATGATAAAAACTTTTGAAAAAATAAGAGCATAAAATTAAAATAGCAGAGATAAGAATGTTCAGATAGATTTGTAGTTACACAAGGAAAAGTAAAAAAGGCTTATAATAAACATCTACAGGGAAGACTTGGCATGATGTTTATTGAAGAGAAAATGATATAAAAAAAATTTATTTGAGATGGTTTGTATATTGACAAAGAAGGTTATTGGAGGTGTGAGAATAGTATATCAGGCTGCATGGAGTTCATTAAAAAAGGAAAAAAAATAAAAGAGAACATTTAATGAAATTATTGATAATAAAACCTTTTAGCTTATAATTTACCAAAAAAAAAAAGGTTTCTAATAGAATACAATAGCATTCTACAGCGAGCCTATCTAATAACATAATATTTGTTGTGGTTGTTGGTCAAATGTCAAAATATGGGTAATTTTTTACTTTGATGATCACGCTCATCGAAAAATTAGTTCTGGATCTTGTGATCACAGTACAAAGACTCAATTAAAATTAAAAATTATCATAATGACTGCATTGGTGAAGCCCATCACCTATCAAACATATTTTAAGTAAATTAAAATTTTATTGTTTTTCTTGCAATTTTATTCAAATCTTTTGAGTGAAAAAAATTGTGTTCAGGAAGCTATCACGAATCTGAGGCCCAAAAAAAGAAAAAAGAAAAAAGAAAGCTATCGCGAATCAACCGTTTGAGAATACCTAATTCTATATTACTCCTCCAGTTTTTAATATAGGACCTAATTATTAAGTTAATTTTGATCTTAAATATAAGATCTATTTCTTATATTTATTAACCTATGAATACTCTCTCAATCATAATTAAGTAAGTGAAAGAAGAAAAATATTAAGAAAGATGATTATGATATTTTAGAAAAAAAATATGTCATATTTCTTATAATTAATTAACATACTTAACTTCTTTAATCTGATCAAATTAGTTAAATATGTTTTATATTAAAAACCGGAGGAGTAATTTATAATCTCTCATACCAAATAGCTAATACAATAAATGTAAAAAGACTAATAAAAATGGAAAATGATTAAAAAATACCTATTGAATTTTAAAATGACTTGTAAAAATATTGATTATTCTTAAAAAGGCTTTGACATGATAAAATCACTTATTTGTCATTTTAAAATTTAAAAGATATTTTTTTTATCATTTTTCCAATAAAAATTCAATTTGATATTTCCCCATATTACTCCTTTTTTTTTAACTCAACCATTTCAATGGAGTTTTATGTATCCATTTAAAATGACATTTTCATTTTATTCATTTATTTTGTGAAAAGCCCTATGTCACAAGCAAGCAACATGAACCATTGTTTTCAAGGAAGGATAAGAATATGCTGCCATCACTCATCAGTTATATCAAGCACATAATTAATTACTTGTGCATGGACATTTCATAATTTTTTTAAATATAATTTTTCTCTTTTTTTTTCTTGATTTTTTATTTTCAACCAAATATACAACTGAGAAAGTGTAAGCAAAAATTGGATCAAAACAACAGTTTGATCAAGCCATATTCAGACTTTAGGTAGTGTTGTTTAGTTCACACACACAAGACAAAACACATCTACTTTGATAATTTTTTTTTTTCCTTTGGAAGAATCTCAAACTTTAATTTCATGGCTCAGAACAATGACAGATGGGTTCAAATAAACATTCTTTTCATACTCTGCTAAATTAACTCATCACCTTCCATCTCCAATCTCCATATTTATGGATAGAATAAATATATTAGGACTAAAGTACCTCCATCACTACAGAAATTCATTCAATCTTCTTCTTTATTTTTTGTCTTTTTGCCAACCAACTTTTTTTTTTTTTTGTTAGTATAACTCAAAGTATCCTCAAACTACTTTAGTCTTGAGACTAATTTCCATCGAGCCAGGAGCGTTAAAGTTAAAGCCTTCCTAACAAGTGTTTTTATCAGGATTCGAATTTGTGTTCTCCTCCTTATTACAGGGGTGAGATTATTTACTATCTCAATTAATAACTTATTGGTAATCAACCTTCTTCTTTATTATACTATGAATATATATGTATGTATATGATATTTTGTTTAGATTTACTTGTATACTCTGCTTAAATTTCAATTCAACTCTATGAGAGACTTGTCTTCAATCTTTACTCATACTTACCTCCAACATAATTTGTTCTACTTGGTAAGCCACAAATTCTAATATGAAAAAAGTAGGCAAGTACAACAAACTTATAACTTTATAAGCTTCGGAGGGCTTTAAAGATACACGAAATTGACAAAGTTTAGCTTCACCCTTACTGCTACTACTGTTCTTGATGCTTTTAGGATTGAGTTCAGCCAAACCTTCCAACTGAATAAATTTTAGGTGCAAATATTCTTGAAGCTGGAATTCTCTCTGTAATATCTATATGCTCCCTTCAATTCTAAATATATAAACTGGATAACTACTTTGTAAAGATTAATAAAATTAGTTATTTGTAAAAAAAAAATGTGTTGACTTTCCTAAAATACCTCCTTTAATCATGTATTCTCGAACTATCTTTTAATAAAAACTTTTTTAATACTACCTTCAGTCCTAATTATAAGAGTCAGTTGACTAATTTGAGGGAATTAAGAAAAGAAGTTAAGTTAGTTATTTGTAATAAATAGGTATTGTCTTTCCAAAAATATCTTTACTAATCAAGTATGTTGGTTAAAACTATAATTATTAACAGAACTATCTTGAAAAAAATTGAGTAAATATGAGAGACAAGATGGATTGGAATTTTATATTTAGGACCAACATAAAAGTCAAACGGGGTCTTATATTAAGGATCGGAGGTAGTATGTGCAATCAATTAGATTAGTTTGAAAAAAATTATAAATTTAAAAAACAAAGTCGATTAAGGTCTTACATCTAAGATGAAACTAAACTATCTAACTCACTCATACATTTAAGATTGGAGGGAGTATTATATTGTAATCAAGTAATTCCTATGATTGCTTATATCTTATTTGATTTTATTACTTCTTAGAGTTGGGACATGAGGGTATTTTTAACATCCCCAAAATCACTTATTTTGTTTATTCGTTTTTATTCAATGTAGGAATGTGAATAAATATTCTAAAGGGACCACATTGCCAACATTGTGTTGAGTCATAGCCTTATAGATAACATGTGTCTATCCTTGAGGTCTCATGACAAGATAACAACTTTGTTACATCTAACGTATAGTGTTATCAACAGTCTCGCAGTTAGTTGATTACCTTTAATGTTGAAGAAGGGGCCACCATCTCAGCATTCAATTACAACTTGACTAAGCAGAAAGTATCCCACAAACTGGTCCCTCCCTATTATTCCTCATCATGGGTTGGATGACAAGACTAATTTTATAATTTTTTTCCCAAAAATATCAAAATAAATGTACATATGGAAAAAGTCCCAAAACCGCAAATGCAGCTTGGTCTAATCTACACACATTCAATTTCCATGCCACCAAGATAATCAAAGAATACAGTACAATGTGCTGGCACGGGTTCAGTCTGATATGGACTAATCAATCAGTGTTTGTCTCGCATATAAATGTGGTGATTTTAATTCTTGAAGCATAGTGTGATTATTGCAATGTGATGATAGAACAGAGAACTGAGACCAATCCTATTTGAGAGAAAGAAAGGGACAAGTAAACATGACCCACCCAGTCTTTTGAAAATTATGATCATATAACATAAATCTTGACGGAAAAAAGTACTTCGGTAACAGAAGAGCCATAGGACCCGCTGTAATCAGTGGGAAAAGCCGGAAAGAAAGAAGATGACCTAATCAAGTTGCATAACAGAATAAGTCACCTCCACCAAAAATTGGCATTCTAGAGGTAGAAGTGCATCTTGACTTTTATCCTTTTCATTGTAATCTATTGTTGTTTTTAAAACAATGAATGGCTTACATTAGTTCAATGATTACCCTGCTGGTAGTGTGCTTACGTGCATAGCCAAAAAAAACCTTACAAATGAACATAAAGTGGACCCCTTCACTTATCAGTCTTTCGGAAGTTAATTAGTGTGACAGTAATCATGCATGATATGAAAAATGCAACTGCTTTATATTTGGATAGACTTCAATAGAGAAGACTGATCTTTGCCTCTCTTAATCTTTCTGAATCTGAAGTTAGCCAATCAATCCCATTTCTGCGGTTAAAGCATTATATGGCACGTATATTTAGATGTCATGATTCTATTCTTGTCTTTTCTTATGATCCCTATTAAATACAGGGAAATGACTAAATAGCTAGGCATATCAAGTATATGTAGTTTAGCAGGAAGAAATACTGCGAAAGCTTACAATGGCTTCTCTGATAAGAATGCCTCTGCTTAACCTACGCACAATGGACAAGGCAAAACGGTAAAACAGAGGTCTTAGAACGAAGAAACTCAGGAGTAAATGTAAGAGGATCCAACAAAGAACAATTCCATATAAATGGGAAATGAATAAAAGATAACGCTTAAGGTTATCTTTAAGGTTGAAGAATGACATGAAAATTTTGATACTGGATAACTAGCATTCACATTAGACACTCAATAATAGTCAGTTTCATGAGACGTATAACTATGTCATGTATTTAGAAAATGATAAGGACAGTTCTTGCAGCCAGCTACAAGCCACTGTTTGAGACCATTTCAATTAAGGGTAACCTAGGTGCTGAAATTATCTGCTTGGCATTTTCTTCTGTAGTATGCTAGTTCAGAATGCCAGCAATCATAATGAATTGGGAGGAATTCAATATCAAGGATCACTGAAGAGAAGTTCCATTTTTCAAAGTCCAAGGACGTGACTGCTTTAGAAGGAGATTTTTCGTCGGCTGTTCACATGGTGACTGGAATTCCTTCACCCAACAGGTGAAATTTCAACATAAATTGATCCACTTCCTCATTTTATTGCCGTGAAAGAAATGAGGAGATGTATTAATGTGGCTTACCCATCCTGCCACCGACAGCATCATTGGTATTAGCAGCCCCACTCAGGGGTCCATTGCTATTGCTAGGCGGAATCATGGTTTGACTATGTTGTACTGCCTGGGAACCATAACTGAATGCATTCATTGGCTGCAAGACCCAAGAAAACATGGCAACAAAGGAAATCAACTACAAAGGTAAACTATGATAAGCATTGAAGACATGGGGGGATTTAGCATATGGAAAAAATGGTATTATTTACTTGAAAGGAATTAACACCTGAGAGACACTTTGCATAAGATGATAGCCCATGCAGCGTGCATATTCCTCAGAAAGAGCTGGATTTTGCATATGATTTTGGTAATTAAGGGGACTCAGAACAGGAGCTTGGAATGGTACAGTCTGATTTGGTGCTTGAGACATAGATATGGATTGATCGAATGGGACTCTTGGTATATTCATATGATTAGACACAGAAGGTGTTGCAAATCCCATACCCATTTGAGACATGTAGTGCTGAATTCCTGGAATCATCACTGGTGTCATGCCAGCTCCCATCAACATCATCTAAAAGCAGGAGCCAAATTGATTAGTTATTCCCAATTTGAAGACAAGTTTCATTAATAAGATCTTGCAGGCTACTTGTACCTGAAGCTGAAACTGAAGTGATTTCAAATATTCTATTGCCTCATCTAGCATAGATGCTTTGTCTGTCTGCAAATACAGCCCTTGTTCAGATTTTACACCATTATGATAGGATCTTATGAAAAGTAGAAACATATAAAACCAGGGAAAATGGATTTAACAATATTTCCAATTGAAAATATCTAGCATCTACCTTAGAGGGCAGGGGAGGGTCATTATCATAGCTTGTGTCAAGTAAAAGGAAATTTTTATTTCCCAGGCAGATGGAAACTTATTTATATGATGTTTGAATATAATAAATATGAAGGATTTAAGTGTTTTATATGTCTTAAATACTATAGAGATGTTAATTTTATTACATATAAGTTTTCAAAGTACTTGGGAGATTACTTTATCTACATGCCAAAAGCCAAGAATAAACTTAAAAGAATTGTTTTATCTCATTCGCTCCCTCCCTTTCTTTACATACATTTAATGCCTTGTTTGCTTATAAACCACTTTCAATCTGGCAGTCAGTAAATCATAAATGAAGCAATTTCTGGCTCTCCGTGAACAGTGAATGCTCTCTAATAATGGGAAGAAGAAAGCGAGAAGTTAACATGCATCCTGTAAGTCAACCTTGTTACTGTGAGGTATGAGTTGTTGCAATGCCCTCATCTTCTCATTGATCCTGTCTCTTCGTCTCTGCATCAGTAGAGAAGTTCTGATATAAGTAGAAGTTCCCATAATCTCAATTTATCAGAAAAGTCCATGTCCTCACCCTTTCTGAGAGATTATGCACTTCAGCAGCACGGTTCCTTCGGGAAGACCCTGTCCGCTGAGCTTCCTTGTTTCTAGCCACTGATTTGAGTTCTGTGGTCTACTATATGTACAGACAATTCTCACTAGCAAAAGCAACAAACCTAACATTTAATCACAGAGACAAATGAAGAAAGGGACAGCACTTTACCTCACTTTGTTTCTCTAACTCTTCTGAATCTGTCCCTTTTCTTTTCTGGCTACAGATACTAGTAGAGCGGGAACAAGTTTTTTCAAGACTACTGCCTGAGCCCCCAGAAGATGAAGTGACAGTTGGTTCATGTGATTCTGATTTCCCTTTTTCACCCATTGGAAGTGTTCTCTGAACATTATCCCTAAAGGAAAAAGGCTCTGCTGACAAACTAGTAGTCCAAACACCACTGCTTGAAATCCTGCTCACATCTCTGTCTCGAGGAATTTGATTGCTACCACAATGACTTGAACCAACTGTCATCACTGAGCCTTCTCCAGTCTCATTTTGCAACATCTTACCTGTACCTTGTTCTCCATGTTGTGCATTAGAAGATGTTGAAACAACCTTAGGAACCGCTGAAAACTGAGAGAAATTAAGGACTTTTGGTGACCCATTAAAGTCAACGTTTTTCTGAGATGAATCAGGAAAAAATCTAGGAGAAAGGATGGGATTTCCCGAGAATTTCTGAACAGGGGACAGTTTCATATTAGGTGATTGTGAAGTTGCAGACAGATGGGAGGCGCTGTCGGTAGTGAATTTGGAAAACTTCTCTTCTTCAAACAGCTTATTTGGCTTACCAGGTTCAATCTCACAGGATGGAAGTTCAGGTAAAAAGTCTGAACATAATTCTTGTTCCAATGGATCTTCCAGTGAGTATTGGATCCATGAGACTGTCTCATCTTCTTGAAACAAATTACTCAAGTTCCCGTATGATCCACCAGTCCTCAATGTTGATTGATCATTATTCTGAACTTGCCTGGAGTGTACTGAATTCAAAACTGGTTTCCTATGTGTTTGACTGTTCAAAACTACCTGTCCATTTTGCCAAAGGAGCTCTACAAGTTCTTGATCTGGTCTGTAGAATTTATCACAGGTTAATTATTATAAAAAAAGGAAAAAAAAATTAAATGGGCCAACAACAGTTTCAATCTTTTATAGAGATAGATTGAACACACCCCATGGGATTCTTTTGATTGATGAAACTGCTATTGCTCTGAGAATTACAAGCAGGAACACTATGGTTCATGGCTAATCAAATCAGTTATCTGCAACAAAAGAAAGAAGAGATGTTTAGATTTCGTCCTCCCACTAACAACCTTCACAAAAACAATAAAATAAGATGCACTTTGCAACTAATTATATAATTAAATAAGCATATGACTAATTTAATAGTGAACCCGAATAAAAAATGTCTGTCTATCATCACGTACGGAACTTTACCAGCAGAGGAGACAGCAAAATCAAGTTTAAAAAGAAACAAAGAACCCCCAGGATGTTTATGTCATTCGCATAATAAGTTAGCAAAGCTAAAGCTTCACAAGTTCAAACTCCCGAAGAGGAACATGCAAATGACTCGCATGGCCAGGTTTTAAAAAAGTTAGTGAAAACCCAAGAGGAGGGAAAATAGAGAAAACGAAAAATATGGGCAAATACGAGAAGCAGCTTACAGAAAGCTGTTTTAACACAAGAAATGATTCCCTTATTGCTGCTAACACGAACGGAGAGAATAAGATAATTCTTTTTTTAGTGCAAGGCAGAAAGAAACCCGAAGAAAGTGCAGGAAAATAACCCGCCTGAGCTATGGAAGTTCTCAGACCGCATAGACTGGAAGTTGAAGCCAGATGACTGAAGCAGCTCCCTTCCTCTCTCTGTATATATATGCATATACATACACACACACCCACACATATATGAACAAATGATAGTTGAGCTGAAGTGTGAGGACAGAGAATGAAGAAAGAAGAGTTTTCCAAAGCGAGAATGAGAGTGACAACCCAAAGGAGAGAAGAGAAGGGAAGAGAGGGAAGAGAGGGAGATAAAATTCCGTGGGAACATGGGGTGCTTGGGATTGTGAAGGGAGAAAAACGTGGCTGTACAAGTGGCGCATCATCACAGAATTTCATTCAGCGTGCCAAGGGGAGGTCAATTTAGGCCCTTAAAACTTTGTAAATTAAATTGATTATAAATTAATATATACATATTTTTAGAGTGAAAAACATGGCATTTATTTGGAGTAACACTATTTATTAATATTTTACTTTTATTTTCTGTCAACTTTTGAAGGAAAATATGAAAAATTTTATATTAAACCCATATAGATTTACATTTTTTAAAACTATATCTTGAATAAGTGTGAGATATTTATATAAAAAATCAGCTACAATTTTACCTCTATTTTTTTATCAGGGGTGAAATTTTATTCAAATATAATTGCATAAAAAATTAGGAGTAAAATTACATAAAAAGTCATGGATAAAATTGCACATTTATCAAAAAAATTAAATTTAAAAATAAAAAATGCATAATGATAATTGTAAAATATTATTATTTGGCTGGAATATAGGGGCAAATTGGGTGTGTGGGTGAGAATGGTCTGAAAAAGGAGAAGCAAGCAAATCTGTATGTGGATGCACACAAGGGCGATGCAATCCAGAACAAACCACGGGTGACGCCACGTGGCACTGCCAATCTGTCACTCATTGGCCAATGATAATGGCTTATTTTATCAGATAAATTATGTGCCACTCTTCTTTTATTTTATCATTAGCTATATACAAGTGGGATATAGTTTAAATTATTTATAATTCATGATTAATAATAATATGTCATCTTATAAATTTCAAATTATATATATGTGGAGATTCTTGATTGAAGTCTATTGTTTTATTTATATTATATGAAATTCAAAAATAAGCTGCACTCGTGTTATTATGGGGTTTATTTTGTATATTGTTATATTAATATTGACTATTATTTTAATATTTTAGCAAGGGAGTGTTTGAAGAAGTGAGTATGTTATTAATATAAAAATGAAGGTCTAAGCATGGTGAAGAAACAACTTGCTTTATTCAAATATAATTGCTGTATGGGAAAACAAATACTTTTTAGTACATTAACTAAATTTCCCTTAATATAAAAAAAATTTAATTGAGTTGCGCAATGTGATGCTTTTATGTAATCTCTCACAAATGCTCCTCTGGCCTTTAATATTTAATATAGAACCTAATTATTGAGTTGATCTTAGTCCTAAATATAAGACTTGTTTATCATATTTATTAATTCTTTCTAAATTATCCCTATTGATACTCCCTTAACCATAATTAAGTAGGATATAAAGGGATAATATTAAGAAAGATGATTATGGTATTTTAGAAAAAACATGTCATATTTCTTATAATTAACTAACTTACTTAACTTCCTTAATCTAATCAAATTAGTTAAATAGGTCTTATATTAAGGACCGAAAAAATAGAATATATCCGATTTAATCTTGGAAAATACATGTCAATCTCAAAATGATCCTTCTAAAAGCATTTATGGACTATCTCATATAAAAAGCATCATTATGAGGAATAAAGTACCCATCAATTCCATCTCATCATTACATGAGCTGTTATTTTTATCAATCAAGCTATTGAATTGATTATTTTTCTGACAAGAGAGGCCATATAGATAAAGAAAGTAATCTTTCAAACAGAAAACTAAACTTCACAATGGCATTTATATAAAAGCTATGCCAAGTACAAATCTGCTAGACAAAGTGACTAGCTTTTCTCTATTTGTACACTGTTGAAAAATTTACAGATAACTTTCCTGGCTTAGTTAACATAATAATTTTTCAGAGTTTTTCAACAGGAAAACCAACAACAGGCTCAATCTTTGAAGCCATACTTCTTAGCTCTGCTATCTCATCATCGTTTAGCCTCCAACCCAGTGCACCAACGAATTCCTTAGCTTGTTCAGCATTTTTAGCTCCTGGAATAGGCACAACATTGCCTTGTGCTACAAGCCAGTTTAAGACTACCTGACAGGGAAATTACGAGTTCTTCATCAACTAGTGGTCTCACAAAAACGAGTAATAAAAATCTCATAATCTTTAAATTATGAGAAAAATGGCAAGTGTAGACATGAAGTTAAGGATTTTAATTATTTTCATTTCTCATTTTATTTAAATAATTTTTCCTCAACCCAATAAATGCACTCAAGTACTGCACCAATAGAAGCATTTGACTGGATCCAAATCTGTTGGGGCCCAGGCAGATCCTGTTCCTCATTCTCTTCTCTTTCCTCACTGCATTACTTCCATTATTGAAAGAAATCCACTAATCAGAATATCATGCACAGATCATTATAAAAAAGAGGGGATCCTATTTTGGTCTTCCAAAGATGCCATCATTGTTACTTTGATCATAATTTTGCCTCAGTTCGACAGAGTAATTTATCCTCGAAAGAAGGGCCTGTATCATGTAAGTACTCTGAACGAGTGAAAATTGGAAGGAAGGCATATTCTTGGTACCAAGAGATGGAAGACGTATTCAGGGACCAAAATAGCTATATCAACAGATAAAGCATTCCTCTGTAAAATAATTGAGAGAGATTGGATTATGCCTGCAGTTTTTAGCAATTTGAATTTCTGTAATTCTATGCACAGAATTGTGATCAGTTGACTTCACCAATATATTAAAATTTAAATTATAAGTCGCAACTGAAGATAAGAAGGGACCTGTGTATTTGTTTTATCATACTTCTGTCCCATCTCTGTGATTTTGCTCAGCAAAGGTTGGAGCTGCAAAATAAAAACGCAATTCAGGAAAGAAGCAAGGTGGCTAAGGTATTAGATGTGCAAAATTTCTGAAGTTTTTACCTTTCTTAGAAACTCTGGAGTATAAATTCTGCCTCGAGGGCCAGTTGGGGGATTTTCAGGACCATACTTTCCGGATAGAATTCCTGTTAAGAAAAGGACAGTTAATATTGTCAACAAGCACTTCAACTCCAAAACTTAAAATAAAGGTCAGTGAATAATTTATCATAATCTCCAACACCCCTATTACTTGGAAGCACTTAAAAAAAAAAAAAAAAGAATACAAGTCCATTTTACCTTCATAAGATCAAACTTTGTAATCCAGGACAAAAAGTGATCAAACTTTTGACTATTTAGTCATAAGGGCTCGAATACCATCTAAAGTACCATTTCAATAAAAAATTTTAAGATCTCAAGGGTCAAGAGAAGATTATACCTTCCTAATTTATAAAACGTTTGGCATGAATTAAGCATTGCCAAAAAGGTGTCATGAAAACCAAATGGAACTTTTGCAGCCCTACAAATCAAGAACTTGAACCTTTTGTATGCTGTAATTACATGTATAACAATGACACTCCAGAATCCAACATAGGTGTCTAGCCTGATAATGCATGAAAACCTCACAATATTTTAGTAGCAAAGGAATGCAAGAATATATAAAGAAGAGAAATGCTAAAACAGGATGGTTGTTCACAGTTTGAGCCCTGCTCTTGTTGTCATGGACCTCTACTGAACATTTGCTGACCTACCTACCCAATCCAAGATTAGGTGAAAGCTTTTCTCAAAGTTTTCAAAGCAACACTGGCAGCCTAAAGCCAAAAGGGATACTTATATGCACGGCGACACCAAATTGCAAGCCAAAAAAATAATTAGGAAAAAAGAATTCAGATCATCAAAGTCTTGGCCTAAGTTTAAAAGTGGAAGCCTCCTTATCTAAAGAAGCAGGAGACAAATGTGAGGCTATCTTTTCATGTAAATAAACCTCAGTATGATCGACAGATAAATGTTGTTATTTGATCCGTTAATGATGCCATGGTTTTTCAGATGATACATTAAACGTGAAAATGAAAACAAAAATAATGAATCTTTATATGTGCAAAAGTATTCATTTAATCATACAGAGCTCAATTAGCTGTACCCAACATATTAGTTATTTAGGGCAGAGGTTTACCTTGAGCAATTGGACTATATGCAATCACTGTGATCCCAAGTTCATCACATGCGGCTTTCACACCATTCTCCTCAGGGGCCCGGTAGATGAGGCTATAGTTTACTTGGTTTGAAGCCAATGGAATGCCTCTCTTCTTAAGCTTCTCATAGGCTTCACGGAGCCGCTTTTCTGATTAAAAGAAACAAGATAACAATACATATATAACTCGAGATCCCTGTGCGAAAGTTCAGATAAAAAATAACGCATGTAAAAATTCCAATAAATTACCACTATAGTTTGACACACCAACAGCCTTGACAAGGCCTTGCTCAACAGCATCTCCCAGTCCATCAATATACCCTGAAAATAAATTCACTAGTGAAAAGAGCCTTCTCTGAAGCTGAACATGATTGGATGCATAGTCATCCGATTCCATAGTTCTACCAAATAATGTTTTACAATTGACAACCTTCATTTCCCCATACTCCAGGCCTGAAAACAAGAACTTCAATCAATTGCTTAATCAAAACATAATGTTATATGCCTTGACAAATAGAAACGGAAACTTTGCTGGTTGATTAAAATACGTACCAGTGAAGCTGATAAAGCTCCACTGAAGAGAGTCCAAGTCGACTGAGGGAATCTTTTAGGGCAGAGAGAACACTTTGACGGCCAAACCGCCAGGGCAATGCAGCAAACTTGGTTGCAACAGCAATCTCTGCTTCGGGATCCCTACGTTTTCTTTCCTTGATAAACCTTTGTATAACAAGCAAAAGGAAGCATTGATTTGTCAATTTCCTTAGTTAACTCAAAAAGTATATAAAAGGCACACCTAAAATCTTAGCACATACCTTCCAAGAAGAACCTCTGAATTTATTGCTCCTAGCGAAAACTTCAGGAGAGAACAAAATCTTACTTCTCTCACCGACATCTACACTTATTGAATGCAAATGGAAAGAAAAGAGAAGATAAAAGTTCACCTTAGAACCGTAAACTTCAGCAGTATCAAAAAATGTTAAGCCTCCATCAACACTGGCATTGAAAGCATCTCTGGCAGCTTTCTCTTTCCTTTCTACAGGAACCACAAATCTGATGTCAAAATATTGATTTTCATGGCCAAGATTTAAAATTATTCCAACCAAATAAGGAGCAAGGCGAATTATTGTTTGCTGTTCCCCAACTGAATAAAGTATAGAATAGTTAAAGTACCGTATATTTATTCAATAAGTAAAGAAAGAAAAATGACACAAGAGTGTACTTTACTGTGGTGCATGCCTACCAAAGGGTAAAAGAAGTTTAGAAAGTCATGCTTAGTGAGACGGTGGCGGGTTGAAATGCAGCTTGATATAGACGCCAAAGCCTTCTATCCTGTCTCCTATACCATTATCTGATTAATCTTGTCGCTTTCTTTTTTATATCTTCCACTTTCATCTAACCAGCCTTTTACACTACAATAATAGAATGAATAATGGCATGCCATTATCAACTCACTTGTTTAGAAGGTACTGTAATTATAATGTACTCCCTCCATCTGTAATTATAAGACAAAATTCTGGAGGGTGAGATGTGCTTATATATAGGACAATTTACAATATTCTAGAAGTAATCAATAGTTTTCCTTAAAATTTCCCAAATCAATGAATTAAAAGACTTGGCTCACTCTGGAGTAAATATATAGGCAGCCTTCCCCATAAGATGAAAATGCCCAACATTAATTGAGGGTAGAGAGTGGGAAAATGGGGTGAAAAAAGAAGACATAAATTAGTTAAAACCATTTTAATGATGTGGGTAAGTTAGGTACTTTTATCTTGTGAAAAGGAACGGAGAAAGTATATAATTTACAGATGAAATCAGTCAGTTGATTCTCTAACATTCCTTGTTTGACATTTAGACATTTTACTTTGCATTGCTTTGCTATTGTCAGCCTCTGCTATATTGTGCCTAGACCCCAGTGCTGTCGACAAACTATAGTAGTAGTATTATGTTTTCCAGAAAGAGAGCAACAGGGGCTATAAAATATGCCCACTCATTCACAAATATGACTTCGTGCTTACAGCTTCCTCAATCCTCAACTTTTTGTTGAGCATGACTACAGTTAATTGTGTACCAGGCTAAATCGTGGGTAGTCCATTCCACTAGGCAGGTACGCTTCCACAAGTATAGGGCCTCCGATGATGAGTGAGAAGGAACAGATATACATGTTCACTTAATTACTTTGCCATAAATCCATGCTACTTTCTTGGAACCATACCAAAGCATGAATTTACCATTTTCAGCAATTTGATATGGATACGATGTTGAACCAAGTAAGTCAATCATAAAGGAGAAGAAGAAGTTACCATTCCATTCAAAATTGTTCCAGAAAGAAGTATCACCCCAAGACCAAGCACCAATTCCAAGTTTTGTCACCTTCAAGTCAGAACCACCCAACTTGACCTTCTCTTCTTCTGTTTTAAGCGTAGCAGAACCCTCAGAAGCAACTGCTTTTACTCTGTGAATTCTCGAGTGACCCAGAACACTAAAACACGCACTGCCGATATGAAGGGCCATGAAGAGGGGGGAAAAAAGCAATTCAAATTCCACGAAAGGGTATCTGATTTCCGAGTACCCCAAGTTAAACTGAAGAGCAAGTTCGGAGAACAACTGGGCCCAGATCACTACAGAATTGAAGGGAAGGGATTCCTACATAATTGAAAGAAAAAATTGACGTGAGGTAAGGACTGAGAAGAAGAACAGAAATGGCAGAAAATGCAAATGAGGCCGTGGCTATTGGATATCCACGCCAGATTTAATTTTGTGGACACTGCACATTTCACAATTCTTTGACGTCCAAGCGTACTTTGTTATCCGTTAATCTTGAAAATTTCCGCTCATACTTTTCAATTTTATTAAATTTCATGATAATCTTTTAATTTGCATAGTCATTTTTTAAAGGAAAAAAAACAACGTCATTAAATACTCCCTTCACTCATATATATTTATATATATATATAATATGAATTTTTGGAGTGTTAAAAAAATTAAGGGTATAAATTTCTTACATATTTATTTTTATTATATATATAATAGAGATAAATTAAAAAAAAATCACTACAAATACTTCTCCGCGTTCATAATATAAGTCATTTCTAAAAAAAATGATTGGGTCAAAATATCAGGCTGTTATTTTTAATGAATAAAAATGATAAACTGAAAGTCTTCATTTTAGAAAGACCCGTTTAAGAAGTAAAGAGTATTTGCTTGTAAATTAAATTAAAAGAGATTAAGGGAGCGTTTGGATGAAAACGAAACCATAGTTTTAAAAATAATTTTACAATATACGAAATAAATATATAAAATAATTTGTCTCGATTTATGAAAAAGTACTTTTATAGTTTCCTAAATACCCCTAAAATAGAGGAGAAACTGGTCTTCCAACAAAATGACCATGAAAACCTTGTACTATTCATAAATTTACAGATCACTTGTGAGATTTATGGCTGCAATTGTACCTAATTTTCTGACTAAATCTATAATCAATTAATCATCAACATATAAAGTACAACATAGAATTATTGTAAATGAACAGTTATTTGATTGGTGACATTTTCCTTTTTTTAGGAAAATTACTCTTTCCGTTTCTTATTATAAGAGACAAATAACCAAATTACGTTAATAAAAAAACAGTTAAAATTAGTTGAGGACAATTAATGTGAAAAAAGTATAATGTTTTTTCCAACAATACCCCCATTAATAAGGAGAGAGAGTATGAGAGAGAACAATTAAATTATTAAAAGAAAGAGAAGTGGAAGGGAGAGAGAATATGAGTTAGAGACAAAATAAATAGGAGTAAAATAAGAAATCAATACAAAAAAAATATAGACAACTTTTAAGTGTCTCTTATACATGAGAACATGCAATAAGCATCAAATGTCTCTTATAATAAGGAACGGAGAGAGTATTATAATGTTACTATCCAAAAATCTTATAACAAATAAGTAATATGTAATAACAAGTTATGTTTAAAAAATGATAATATATCCATATTGTTCACTTATTATTGGAATGTTTTAATGATTGCATTTCATTTTAGACTTCATAATTCATAGTAATTTCTTCTTCTTCTTCTTCTTTTTAAATCTATAATTAAAGAGAATGCAAGGCTTGCAATGAAAAAGGACGGTGTGAGACCTTTAGTTAAAAGTGTGAGTATAGGGCTAATAAATGAAACAAGAAAATCACTTTTTTTAGTCCTCACATATTTAACAAATTGAAAAAATAAAATAAATTTCATTAAAATAATTTCTAGAACATTGAGTACATGAGGTAATAAATTTAGGAAGAAAATGTTTTAGCTTTTTAATATGCAATGAAACAAGTTATTATTTACATTTTAATTTGCACGGGTGAAAGATTATAAAATAAAATGGATTACTATTTATGTTTTCAGTAAGCATATGAAAGGAAATTTCAAAATAATTGTTGTTCATATTTTTAATATGCATAAATTGATAATAGAATAATAATAAAAACTTAGATCAAGTTACTTTTTTTACGTGAACTTATAATTAAATGATCTTAAATGCTTATATTTTAAAAACAGAACACACACTTATGTGTGACTAGAAAATTTGAGATAATAGATGTAAGGAATTTGACATAAATATTGTTTAATTCTAAGCTATAATATGTTTTTGCCCTTAAATTTTAATTTTTGCTTTCATTATCGTAGTTATTTATCTATAATTACTTATGCAATTTCATTTTATATCTTCTAAACATTAATATTTATTATAAAACTATCAAGTTCATATTTAACCTCTATTAATTTTTAATTTTCTGCTGTGATGAACTCACGCGCATAAAATATTGTTAACATAATGCTAATATTTCAAAATCTTTCGAAAGGAAGACCAATAACACGTTCAATGTTGGAAGCCATACTTCTGAGCTCAGCTATCTCATCACCATTTAGCCTCCAATCAAGTGCACCAAGAAATTCCTTAGCTTGTTTTGCAGTTTTAGCTCCTGGAATAGGCACAACGTTGCCTTGTGCCATAAGCCAGTTTAAGACTACCTGAAAAGGAAAAGCACTAGTTTTTCATAAATACAGTAACGTTTTTTTCTTTAATCATTCAAAGAAGGGCTAGCATCATGTTAGTGCCCTGAATGAGTAAACTTGGAACAAAACATATTCTTGGCACTAAAGTGATAGAAGCTATGTTCAAGAACCAAAAAGAGGTATATGAACAGCTAGAAAGCTTTCCTCTATAAAATAATTAGAGATACAAGATTATTCCTAAAGTTTTTACCATGATGGGGCGTATGAAATCTCTATAATTTGAGGTAAATTTGTGTTTTTCTTACATTTTTACGCCTTTAATGATAATAATCAATTCTTGTCAAGTTAGAAAGTTCTCACTCGTCTAATGATTTTGTAGCCTAATGACATGAAAGCTTCTTGTAAGTAGGAAGTCACAGGTTCAATTCTGTTTGTAAATTAAAACCATATTAATGTGTGCCCTTTTAATTCAAAAAGTAAAGCATCTTCACTATATTGCTCAAAAAAGCCTTATACGAATTGTACTCCACTAACATAGATAATGTTCAAAATTATAAATGTCACTTGAAGATGAGAATGAACCTGTATATTTGTTTTATCATACTTGTCTCCAATCTCAGCGATTCTTTTCAGCAAAGGTTGGAGCTGCAGAAGAAATTGGCAATTGATGAAAGAAGCAAGGTGGCTAGAACTATTAAGATCTGCAAAACCACTGAAGGTCTTACCTTTCTTAAGTATTCTGGAGTATAAACTATGCCTCGAGGACCAGTTGGTGGATTCTCAGGACCATACTTTCCTGATAAAACTCCTGTTTAAGATTATAGGTCAGTGAATACTTTATTATAACTTCTATCATTCCCCATCACTTGAAAGCACTTTGAACAAAACACAAGTCCGTTTTGCTTCAGATCAAACTGTACAATCCATGTAGAGGACCAATTCAGCTTGAAAATTTTAAGCTCTTAAGAGTCAAGAAAAGGCCATCATTTACAACAATATGACAATATCTAACAGGTCTGGATCCTCAAAAAGAGTAGAAACAAAGGAAATCATTTACATGAATCATCCAGAATCCAACACGGGCAAGAATGGGAAGAAGCCATTAACAGAGAACAGTCCGGACCCATGTTCAAATGTTAGAAGCATCTTTGTCTAGAGAAGCAGGAAACCAAATGTTAGGTTAAGTGTGACTGAGAGAGAAATCTTATCATTTAATCATAAAGAAGCATAGTGATTACATAGCGAAGAGAAGTTCACCTTGAGCAAGTGGACAATATGCAATCACTGTGACCCCAAGTTCGTCACATGCAGCTTTCACACCATTTTCCTCAGGGACCCTGTAGATGAGGCTATAGTTTACTTGGTTTGAAGCCAAAGGGATGCCTCTCTTCTTAAGCTTCTCATAGGCGTCACGGAGCCGCTTTTCTGCTTACAAGAAATGGTAGAATAATATGGATAAATCATACAAGATCTCCCTAAACTTTATTTCATATGTAAATAACCTCTATAACCTTTGAAACATTCCAATAAACCTCCCCGAACTTTTACATTTATATAAGCAACTCCTATAGTATCAGTTCTGCTTCCCATTTATTTGCAAATGGCTTAAAATTTAAAGGGTCTAAAATTGATAATTTGCGGTTATTTGCATAGAGTTGAAAGTTTAGGGGGATCTATTATTAAGTTTTTTTATAGCCCTTTGGGCCACCCAATATCCAGCACTTTTTATAGATCCTATTACCAGGTGTTCCTGTGGTCCTATTTATAAGTCACTTGTAACATATTTCATTCATATCAAGAAAAACCTGAATTTCATTAACTTTTATTTAGTTTTTAACAACTAATAATAAATAATAATATACATTATGCAAACAAAGTCAACATAATAATAAATAAATAGTAAAATTGTACATCCATATAAAAAATTTCTCTCAGTGCTTTATAAATAAGACAAAAAAAATATTTTATTTCTTTGTCTATAAATAGAACCAGAGGAGTATATGAGTAATTAACTACTCCCACCGGTCCTAAATATAAGACCCCTTTGTATTGTAAATTATACTACAAAAGGGGTCTTATATTTAGGACTGGAAGAGTAATCAAGATCGAGACTTTGCAAGCAAGATGAGTTTCTCCAAGGGTCTTTTTTAACAAGGTGGGAATCGAAATGTTAGAGAGCTTGTTTTACATGATTATAAGTTTAGAAAAGTTTTGCACAATTTAGCCATGTAATATTACACAAAGCAAGAATTCAATTTGAAAAAAGATGTAATTATTCCAAGAAATTACCATTATAGTTTGAAACACCAACAGCCTTAACAAGGCCTTGTTCAAAAGCATCTCCCAGTCCATCAATATACCCTGAAAATAAATTCACCAGTGAAAAGAGCCTTCTCTGAAGCTGAACATGGTTGGATGCATAGTCATTTGATTCCATGAACCAGAATAGATCAATGAAATAATGTTTATACACTTGACAACCTTCATTGTCCCATACTCCCGGCCTGAAGACAATAATCTCAATCAATCAATTGAGGAATCACAACATAATGTAAGCTTCTTCAACAAGTACAAAAGGAAACTTTGCTTCTTAATTAAAGTACACACCAGTGCAGCTGATAAAGCTCCACCGAAGAGAGTCCAAGTCGAGCAAGGGAATCTTTAAGTGCAGTGAGAACACTTTGACGACCAAGCCGCCAGGGCAATACGGCACACTTGGTAGCAACATCAATCTCTGCTCCTGGATCTCTCCGTTTTCTTTCCTTGATAAACCTTATATAACAAACAATGAGAAGCATTGATTTGAAAATTTCCTTAGAGGGTGAGCCTCAGAGAGTAATAGTAAGGTTGCTGTCATGTGACCTAGAGGCCAGGGGTTCAAATCTTGAAAATAGCCTCTCTGCTTGTAGGGGTAAGGCTGCGTATATCTATCCCTCTTTAACTCAAATTGTATGAGAAAGGCACAACTGAAATCTTAGCACATATACCTTCCAAGAAGAACCTCTGAATTTACTGCTCCTAGCATGAGCTGCAGGAGGGAACAAAATCTTACTACTCTCACCGACATTGATACTTGTTGAAAATTGGGGGGGAAAGGAGATGATAAATACTCACATTAGAACCGTAAATTTCAGCAGTATCAAAGAAGGTTAGGCCCCCATCAACACTAGCATTGAAAGCATCTCTGGCAGCTTTCTCATCCTTATGTACGGGAACCACAAATACTGATGTCAAATATAAAACAGTGAGGTTCTAATATTTATCCAACCAGTAAAAGGGGAAGAATGACATAAAAGTGTAATATACCATGGAGCATGCATGCCAAATAGTAAAACAAGTTTAGAAGTCATGCTTACTAAGACTGTGGCAAGTGGAGATGCAGCTTGTTTCAGGCACCAAAGCCATCTATCTTGTCTCCTATATTGGCATCATATTTAACCTTGTCCCGTTTTTTCTCGTTTTTATATTCCATTTTGACCGAACCAACTTTTTATGCTTCAATATAAGATTGAATACTGGCGTGCCGTAATGAATTCACTTGATTTAGAAGGTACTCCAATTATAATGGATTTCTATATGAAATCAGTTTTTTGATTTTATAATAGTTTTTCGATCTTTAATATAAGACCTAATTAATTAATTTTAATAGATAAATCGATTAAAGATATCAACTAAATTAGTTAATATAATATATTTCTTGCTAAAGCACCACCGGGATCTTCCTTAATTCCCTCACTCCCTCTTCTACATATTATTAGTGGAAGAATATCAATAAGATTAATTTTAAAAAAACTTTTGATAAACATTTGAAATAGGTCTTATATATAGGATCTACATTAACTCCCTAATTAGCTCTTATATTAAAGGTAGGAGGAGTATTTCTTATTTGATTAGTTGGGGTTAGTTGAGGAAGTCAGACACTCACAACATAACAAATTAAAGATAGAATCCATGTTAGGAGAAACACTCATATTTAGGGAGTGTTTGGATAGAAACCAAACCATGGTTTCAGAAGTGCTTTTACGGATTACGAAGTAAATATGTGGAGGAGGTTATCTCGTTTTACGGAAAAGTGCTTTTGAAACTATGATTTTGGGGCATCCAAACAGGCCCTTAGTGTTTAGCAGTTGTTCAAATAAGATTGTTTCTAATAAAAAGATAACTAAAAAAAATTTTTAAAAAAACTTAGCAGCTAACTCCTAAGCTTAAAAACTATTCTAACATGACCAAACAAGAGAAATCAACCATTCACAAACTGCTTGGCCATGTTTGACATACCACTTTTAAACGTAATTGGATACTCTATTTCCTCAACTTGCCGTGCGAGTGTCTAGGTTTTTTCTTTTTTTTTTTTTAAAAAAAAAAAACAAGCAAAAGCGTCTCGCGTTGTTTGTGCTTTTGCTGTTCTGCACCAGGCTCAATCTCGATTACATCTAATCCAACAATATGGGCCAAGTCTAACACTTGGCCCATTGGGCTTCATCCAAGCCCATCCTATTTAGGCATATAATACACATCAAAGCAATTTTGAACCATCAGTGCTGGGCCTTTGATGATGGGTAAGAGAGAGTTCCATGTATACCGGGTCAGATCAAAGCCCGAATGGCCCATTTTCTCATACGGATTGGGTTAAAAAAAATTCTAAATGAACATGTCTTTTTTAAACCTCGGCCAGTAAACCGACAGATTAAATGAGCCAATATAGGGTACAAGTTGGGCCGTTTAACCTAGATAATTTTCTTGTCTTTAGATTCGCTCTTTTTTTTTTTGTAAGGAAAATTCATTGTATTTGAACCCTAAATCATGTTGATTATGTGAAATATGTTATTAAAATGAGAATTACATGGCCTACGGATTAGATTTAATATTTTTAAAAATGGTTTTTTGGAAAAAGTCTGGGTTGGCGGGTGGGTTAATCCGAATAACCCACCAATTCACACCCAATTCATCCGGTTTGGGTTCCGTTGGTACAATATCAAATTACCAATCCATATGAAAATGGTGGTCCTAATAATTTCACTTGACAAGATCAGATTAAACTACAAAAACCTAATTAAGAATCAAATAAAACTGTAGAGCTCTGATAATTAATTTTTAAAAGTAGCACTACGGCATTAATTCACCATTTTCACTCATTAATTCACTATGGAATATGGATATGAAGGGGAAACAAGTCAGTCATTCCTAAAAGCGAAGTAGAAGTTACCAGTCCAATTGAAATTGTTCCAGAAAGTAATATCACCCCAAGACCAAGCTCCAATTCCCAGCTTTGTCACCTTCAAGTCAGAACCACCTAACTTTATCTTCTTCTCTTCCTCTGTTTTGAGAGTAGCAGAGCCCTTAGAAGCAACTGATTTTACTCTCTGAACTCTCGAGTGACCCAGAAAACTACCAAACCACGCACTGCTGAGATGAAGGGCCATGAATAGGAAAATGCAATTCAAATTCAACAAAAAGGGGATCTGAAGTATGAGTATGAAAGAGGAAAACCCAAATTAAACCAAAGAACAAATTCTGAGAACAACTGAGACACGATTGCTAGGCAGATTCCTGAGAGTTTTGAAGGAAACGAAGTTTTTCTTCCCAGAAATTTGTGCCAGCACAATAATTGAGCCGAGTAGGACGTTACGTACTCGCATTTAATTTTGTGGTCACAGGCCAGTACAATAATTGCTTCCAATGGTTTTCCTTCCATTCATTTTATGGATTTTAATAATTTCATTAAATTTTTTATAATCATTTAATTTTTCAAGGTCATTTTTTATGGGAAATAAATCCAATTTCATTAAATAAGTAGACAAATTTTACTTAGAAATTTGAATACTCAAAAGCCAGAGCTTAAGATCTTCCTGTGCTTAAGATTTTCCTGCGCAATGCTCACTTGCTTATGGCTTAAGGTTCATCTAGTATTCTAAATTATTTTTTCAGGACTAACACTCTAAAATATTTTGTGGTTTAGTTAATATCTTAAAATAATTTTTTAAGTACGTCCAGTATCATAAAGTATTCCATGATTCAATACTCTAAAATATTTTTCACATACGACAAGTGGATAAGACATTTAAAATGTTAAATGTACTTGTAAAAATTCTTCACGTATTGAATAAAACACAATGCACAATATTAGGGACGCACCTTAACCTATTGCTCATTGTAGTTATAAAAGTAGCACATTTATGTACTCCTCCGGTCCTTAATATAGGACCCAGTTGTTGAGTTAGTTTTGGTCCTAAATATAAGATCCATTTCTTATATTTATCAATTTTCTCTCAATTACCCCTATAGATACTCCATCAACCATAATCAAATAGAAGAGGGAGAGGGTATTAAGAAATATGGTTATGGTATTTTAGGAAAAACGTGTCATATTTCTTATAACTAACTAATTTACCTAACTTCTTTAATCTAATCAAATTAGTCAAATGGGTCTTATATTAAGGACCGGAGGAGTAATTTGCATATTTTTATTTTGCTTATACAATTATCTTTAAGTTATAAGATATTAATTTTCACATGTCTAAAAATTCCTCGTATGAGAGAAACGGTAATGGATATGGGACTCTATACAGTCTATGCACACGAAGATCTGAGGAAATCTGAATCATGCTATGAGAAAACACACAAAGTTCATTCATGACAGATAATTAGGAGACTAAATTTCTTTCTCGCAACTGCCTTCACAAACAATGAAGCCTCCCTTCCAAGTCAAAGACTAAGAAACAGAAGCAGAAACAGCATCCAGCACAATATATTGAAACAGAATATTAAATACAACTTATTCAAGTTAAAACCAGAAAAGCATTACTAGCAATCTAATCATGCTTCTTTCCCTTGAGCTTTCCCTTGGAGATCCTGCTGAGAAGACCGGCATCGAGGTTCCGGAATCGGTTCTGCATTTCATCAAGAGCTTTGTACACAAATTTGTCGACTTCATCCTCATGCCTTTCATACAGAACAGGGAGTGTATGTGCAGCCACAAAACCTTTCCACACAAAATGAAGTATCTCATAAATAACTGAATTTGAATGGAACGATAACAACTTCATTGTTGAATTTTCTACAAATTCAATCCTTGTGAATTTTCCAGAACAGGTCATGCCACATGAAATGATACTAAGCACTTATTTGACATAAGCATTAGAAAAGCCAAGCATAGAAGATTAAGGTTAGAAAAGTCAAGGTCTATACAAGTTCCACATTAAGATCTCATAATTTAAGATTGGATTGTCAAATTAAGATCTTATTTGTATGATCCTTGAGAAAGTTTTTATCTATGTTATGAGTCCTTAGATGTCATTTTCTCTACATACTAAGCATGGCAAGAGAAAGAAGGTCACCTACCAATATAAATGACAGTGAGGAAATTGCACCAGCCTCCAATCACAGCCGCGGCCATCAAGCTTCCAACAACCTGAGAACACTTTAGGTGTTAGTCACAAATTCTTGGAAAAGGAGAAAATTAGATAAGGGGGGAAGGAGGAGGAGGAGGAGGAAGCTACATTTGAGGGTGTAGTAGAAATATGCATCATTGTGGTATTCAACTCATCATCTGGAGTGAAACTACGCTAGTTTCTTTGCAGTTTGGATAAATTACAATAACTTCTTTTTATAGGCAGAGATTAGTATCGTGCCAGGAATTTGAAGACCAAACAAGAAGCTACCACAAATAAAAATAATAGGTCAAAATTGAAAGATGAAGTTCTAAAACAAAGTGAATAGAGTGAAAAGAAAATGCAGAAAGGAAAAAATAGTTTCAGAAAGTGAACAATGGTTTAACCTAGAAAGGTATGAATTTGTATCAAAATGACAATAATAAAGTACAAAAGAGGCATAGAAAAGCAACATACAACAAGAAATTGCTTCAAGTTTCCTGAACAAGAAACATCTTGAAGAAACCTCAAACCTCGGTTAACCTCAGCACCAGCTGTTGTTGCAATGTTGACAAAGAAATCTTCTGGGAGAACAAGGCGGGGTACTTTAGATGGCACACTGTTACCAGGAAGAAAAAGGTCACTTGAAGCAGTATATTACATCAGAATAAACTCATGCAAAAGCAGAGATGAGATGTTCTCTGATAAAAACCTGCTAGAATAGCCTGAAGCATTTGACCAAATAAACTGCACAACCATAACAAGAACCAGAGCGAGGCATGAAAGAGTCAGGAGATGATAATTAAGCCATTCAAAAAGCACCCATACAGATGTTGCACTAGTTAAAACACTAGTAGAAATCTTCTTGTCCCTCCATAACAAGACATCAGCAGCTATGACATCAAAGGATAAAAAAAGTAAACAAGGATAATTATAATCATAATAACAAGAATGAGACAGGTTTCCGCTTCATACGTTTTCCACCCCCTAAAAGATGGTGCACAGGCCTCTGACGTCCAAACAGTCTCCTAAACTGAGAGTTCACAGAGTATGAACTCTCTCCATCAAAGAATGAGACAGGTTTCTGCCTCTCAGTGAATGTGTCCATGAGGTTGTTGAGAAGGTTCTCAGGTGAGATTTTGTCAGACATATTTCCAGAACTTCCCTAAAGTGTGAACCAAAAAAAGGAAGGAAAGATTGTACATTATAATTATAATATCCGCTATAGCAGTATCATTCAGAAAGTCAACAGCAACAGCATGCTCACGGTGAGAGTGAGAACTAGATTGTTTTCTAATGCATGACAAATGAGAAAAGTGCTGGACATCAGAGAACACCACAATGTCAAATAATATTACACAATTCTTTTGAAAATAACTTATTTCCACACATCCTCTATTTTCTTCAAGAAGCAAGCTTCATGACTTTGCTTACTGAAGCTTTAATTCTTCTGTCAGCATACAGCTCTTCAAAGCCAATGACTTCTTTCATCTAGAAAAGTTAACCTCTGTTCAAGTCCTACCAATAAGAAAATCAAGCTTCTTATAAATTTTATCAAGATTAAATTTTGATTGAACCTTAAGCTCTTCATGTAATTGTGCAAAGCTCTCACGGAGACCAACACAACTCAGTGAAGTGTTATGGCCCAATCTGAGCCACGTTCTCTAGTTTTGTGCCAAAATGAGCCAATAGACCTTTGACACCTGGTGTAAGTGTAGCATGAACCATTCTTCCAGATCTGATTGACCATCACAGTAAATAGGGATTGGATGATATGCTAATAAAAGTTGGTAACAATCATATAAAACGTAAATAGAGTGAAACGGGCAGAAATCTGCTGTAGCTTGGGACTTCAATCCCCCAAGCTGTCCTACAAAGAAAACATAGTCGCCCATTTTATTCAATGTTGAATGTAGTGTTTTGGGCAGACAAGCGAGGAAAGCAGCTTACAACTCATCGTAAAAGTTAATTGCTGCAGAGTATTTCCACACCCAACCAAAGGAGGTCATTCATACGCATAGCTTTGATGTCCAAGTAAAACGATGCATCTGCCCCTCTCCCCAGGAATCTGGTTCTTCTGAACTCAAAATCCGTTGGGGGACAGAGAAAAAGAGAGCGAGTGGGGGCGAGAGAGAAATGGAGTGTACGTATGAGGTCCACCTTCTCAGTTGCCATCCACTTTCTCTTCTCTTTCTACTTCCTTCATGCTTCAGATGCACTATGCAAACTTCCACGTTCAAAAGATTCAAATCACTCTTCACGGTCACTTGATCAAGTTAGCCCATTAGTGACCAATAATAGAGTGCTTGCAAATACATGGGAAAGAACCTACCCTACTCCTGAATTCTTCACTACATCCATGAAGTTAAAGAAACTTTCCATCTGCAGGCTATATCATGCCTTGAATTCTGCATATCAATTATCAACGTGGTAGGAATTTCAACATCATTCTTATAGCAGCCTGCCCATGAAAGAGAATTTCCCTAATTTATAACAGGTCAACAGTAAGCAGTGCACATTGCTTTTCCTTGGTGGCAAATGGGAAGGACAAAAGGTAAGCCTCAACGATGGAAAAACATTTTGGAAGATCAAATAATTCATGTCCCGATTTCAATCATATATTTTAGAGGAGCAGTACCAAATAGTGAAAAAAATTCGTTTTGAACTTGGCCCCATTGAAAAGTTGATAACCCTGGTCCACGGGTGCTGTTGGTCCTGGTGGGGCAAGAGGAAGAAAGGTAGTGGGAACACAAGATTTCTTAATCTCCTCATAAGCTGAAAAAGCGCATATATAAAATAAACACAGAGATAAATCTTCGTCCTAATAGCACAGTAAACCGTAGAGCTTCCAAAATTTAAACCCCCATCATCTCAGTCATCTACAACTGCGTTCATATTCAACGAATTTTCATCCTAATACATTCATCTTCCAAATTTTCGTCCCAATACCAAGAGAGAGATCAGTTTTCATCTCAATCATCCACGACTATATTCATTTTCATACCAAAAAAAAATCGTCAACGATTTCATCATAAGCCACAAGAGATTAAATTATACAGTAAACATCAATCAGAGATTAAAAGGATTAACTAGGCATGCAAAAGATTGACAAGAAATGAATCAATCAGTGCACTAACCGGAGTGCGCAGAGGGAGAATCGACGGAGATTGGAGCAAAAGGAAAAAGTAGGGAGAAAAGTTAGTGGATGATAAGTTATTAAAATGGCATTGGAAGAATTTCTGGGTGTTTGAAAACTGCATGCGGAATCTCTTGCACGTTTCACCTCAAAGTGGAAACGGTCGTCGTTGACCAATCCAAGTAATCCACCAACCCGGATTCTCAAGTCCCAACTTCAAAGTCATCAGATGTATCTTTTTTAATTTTTTTTTTTTCATCCTTTTCCGTTCTGGAGTTTGCTTACTGGTTTCATTAGCGTTTTTGAACTTTTGATTGATTCTGTTATAGTGAAACGTTTTAAGAGCTGATCGGGCAAGATGATAAATTTTCTTGTTTTCCGCTTGTTTTGTTTTGTAAAAAATAAAAGCTAAGTAAACAATCAATTAACGTAATGTGACCTATATTTACGTAGGTTTTTATTTTAAAAAAAAATCAGTTTGACATAGATAACATGTTGAAAAAGTTTCATTTTCACAAAGTAACAGATCTGTTAGCATGGGATATTTTTTTCGTTTGCCACTGCTTTGTTTTCTCTGTTCAGTAAATGCTCTCTTCGGCTCTTGGAATTTTTTTCAGAGTAAGAAATTTTTTTAGATATACTCCTCTAGTCCTATTTATAGGGTAGAGAGAAAACATATTTTTTGATCCTATTTATAAGGCACTGAGAGAAATTTTTTGTATGGATATACAAATTTAACCCTCATTTATTATTGTATTGACTTTGTTTATATGAGGTATAATGTATATTAAATAGGGATAAAGTTGGAAAGTTATTAAAATTTAAATGAGAGTTAATGAAATTTAGGGTTTTCCTTGGTCTGTGTGAAACATGCTGGAAGTACCTTATAAATAAGACCAGAGGAGTAATATTCAGACAAAACAATGGAATTAACAAGAAAAGCCATGTCACCTGCTTATTAGACATGCTAGGTCAAATTATTTTGGTCAAACTTGTGCTGACTTATCAATTTCACAGTCAAAGTAACAGATCTGTTAACATGGGATATCGATGTACCATTTTAATTACTTTGAGGGCAAAATTGCACCATAAATTACTTTAGGCCACTGGGTGCACTTGGAAAAATACTTGGGGGTGCTGGATGCACCTTAACCCCGAAAAAATTTCACATCACCTGCTTATTAGACATGCCACGTCAGATTTTCTGGTCAAATTTGTGCTGACTCATCAATTTAACGGTCAAACTAACAGATCTGTTAGCATGGGATACCGGTGCACCAATTTAATTACTTTGAGGGCAAATTTGCACCACAAATTACTTCCGGCCACTGGGTGCACCTGGCTAAATACATGGGGTGCTGGGTGCACCTTAACCCTTAGTTTTATTTCAAAATGAACAGGTTCGCAATTCTCATATCTCATCCAAAAAAAACCCAGGTACATTTTCAATTGTATCAAAAAATAATAATAATAAATCAAGTGGATTTGTTAGATAAAATATGGCCTATATATAAGATCTTGGATTCGGATAATCTTCAATACACCTTATTTAATTTATACCAATTCATGAAAAAAAAACTCTCATTTAATATAGCTTTTATGATAAATATGTAAATTTTAATATACTGCTTCCGGTCCTAATTATATAATTAGAACCGGAGGTAGCACATGGCAAATGTGTGATTTTTTAAAAGCAAGTAATTAATAATAATGCAATTGAAATATACACTTGTTTTTTAACCAGAATATACACTTGTTATACTCTTATCAGAAAACTTGTCTCATTTTGATGAAAAGCTTTAGTTTTAGATGATATTTAAACTCTTCTTTCCAACATATAATTCTAATCCATACATGGAGAAAACGATATTTATTGAAATGATCATAACAATTATACTTATTTAAAAAATTAAATATTAAAATATAAATTTGAAAATACTAAACTACCTGAAATGATTACAAAAATTATACTTATTTAAAAAGACTACATATTAAAATATAAATTTGAAAATATTAAACTATCTGTATGATATAAAAATAAGGATAATTTTAACAATATGACCACAAAATTATATTCTTCCAACATGGATATTAATTTTGTAAAGTTTTTATCTCACTAATATATCTGGAATTATCCTGTTTTACTCTAAATTTTATCATCTATAACCTACAAGAAATTTCCAACAAGGAAAAAAAAAGGTGTGAAAGCTCTCAACTTTTTTTTTGTTTGAGTAAAAAAGCTCTCAACTTGCAAGATAGCATGGAGGATGAGAAAGAAAAAGAAAAAAGAAGGCAAAAAAAGAAGATTCATCAACATATATTAGGTGGTGTTATAAATATAAAATTATATTATTAGTAAAATTATCTTTAAGATAAAAACATGCCAAATTTAGTGTGACCAATCACAGCGTGCGTTGGTAAAATTGAATAAAAAATGTTTTGTCAAGGTAGAGAGCCAAGGATGAGAGCTAGCAGAAGTCATAATAAGTTAATAACAGTTGTTAATATCATTGCTAAGAACAATTGATGTTTTTAAACTTATATTTAAACAGCTGATTTTTTTAAAATAATTATAACTTTTACTATCTTTTTTAATAAATATTATTCATTTAAGGAATTTGCTTATTTTTTATTGTTTAACATTTAATATCTATTTGTATTCCATCCTGCAAATTCTACCAATATAAGCCATTAATGATTCTTGATTTTTAAATTTAATTTTTTTAACAAATCAAAATAATAGGGATCACTATTTGATTAACTATAAAATATTAATAAAAATTATTCAAAATAAATTATTATTAAATCGAACATGTAAGATTTATTTTATAGTATAATTTACATAATAAAATGATTTTTACATTTAGAACTGGATAGGAGGGAGTATAGTTTTAAGTAAATCAAAGCGGAATATCATTTATATTATCTATATTGAAATGATAAGTATGGTTATTTCATCATTCAGGTGGATAACCTTTTAATGATAAATTTATTTTTAAAACTTTATATTTAATTATAAAGAATTTAAATTTTAAGTTCATATACAGCTCTACATATTTTTGGGTCCAGTTCAAATAGACAATCAAATAAAATGCACTTTTGAATAAATTAGTTTACTTTGTCATAAAATTAGATTTCCAAATTCTTTTGGATTTTTTTGGCCAATTTTATATTATATCAGATGATATTTTTAAAAATTCATCAATTTTTTAATAAATGATATTTATAAATTTAATTAGTATTAATTTATTTATTATAAGTTATTAACAATGTATATCTCATCTCAAACTTTATAAAAGATCATGTAAAATTTTGTTGGTTGTGTAAAAGTTATGTTATACATTCCAGTAATGTAACTAATAATTAATATAAATATATTTCCCTTCAATAAAAAATTGCGATGAATTGGCAAACATAGCAAAGATTCAAGTTGAGAGAAGAAGAAAACATCAGGAAGAGAATGTGAAGGTGCAGAGACACTAATTCTTTCTGGATTTATTTGAACATCTAATGATTATTTAAAAACTAAACTTGCACTCATACAAATTTAAGAAATTAATTGCAGATTCCTGTGTTACAAAGAATCAATGTTATTTAATTTATAAATATTGAGATTTGAGGTTCCATCTGCTATGAAACATTGAAAATGAAAAATTGGGATTGAAATTGCAATTGAAAAAAAATCATTAAAATAGCATTTGGCATGAATAGTCGCTTATTGTATGGAATTAGACAGACCCATAAGGGTGGGATTAAGGAATACCACTTCTCTTCATGGTATTCTCTAATCCCACATATATGGGTTTGACTAATCTTATATAACAAGTAATCTTTTATACTAAACACTCTTTTAATAGATTTTCTTAATTACAATTCAAATCTTAATCCCTTATTTTTAAGGTTTCATACCAAACGTAACGTGAGAGTTTTTATTTACGCATAGCAGCGAACAGTGGAACACATGGATTGCGAAAATGCCGCATGTGCGGACTTAGTTATTACTCCTCCGGTCCTTATTATAAGACCCAATTTGACTTTTTATTTGGTCCTAATTATAAGACCCAATCCATTTTGTCTCTTATATTTATGCATTTTTTTCCAAGATAATCCTTCTAATAATGATAGTTTTAGCCAATATACTTAATTAGCAAGGATATTTTAGGAATGACAACACTTATTTATTATAAATAACCAACTTAACTTACTTCCTTAATCTCCTCAAATAAGTCAATTGGGTCTTATAATTAGGACCGGAGGAGTATTCATCAGATGATGGGGTGAATAAGCCAATAGCAAAAACAATTGCCAATTGAAAATTTAATTTGGTCATATATATAATAACTCAAATTTTATTTTCAATATTTATTAATTTTGTCTCCAAGTAATTAATTCTTATACTAATTATATATGTTAATAAGTTTTCATCAAAGGGAATGCATATAAATGATGGGATATTTTAAGAAAGACAATATCCATTTAATATAAATAACTAATTTAATTAATTTTTTTAATATTTATAAATTAGTTATTTAACTTTTATATTAATAGCAGGAGGTACCTATAGGTTATAATTATTACTTAGCTAATAGCCAGATTTAGAGTTCATAAATATCATAAATTTTAAGTCATCAATATTATATCAAATGTAAAATATCATATTATTTATAAGTTATAATTAAATGGTATTTAATTTCGTTCATCATGCAGTAGAACAATAAACTATATTTAGTTAATTGAAAGTTTGATTGAGAAGATCCATGTTCAATTATACTAGCTTCTTAGAGAAAATAAAATTAAAGACCAGCTACATATCTTTTTTAAATTATTGAAAAATTAATCAGAATAAAAATCATCGTCTTATTATTCAATAGTAAAAAAAATATTAAGATTATGAATGATGCATGTGTGAGTATAATTTCCTGAAATTCATATTCTTTTACTCAAAGTATTTTCAATATTTATTTTCTATCTTCTTAGCAAATAACAAAGAGTCATTAATTAGCATGAACATATTCATGTTATATTTCAATTTGTTATTAACTTCTCTAAATCTCAAAAGAATTATAAAATAAAATATGTGCCTATACATATTAATTTTGAAAAGTGTGTACATATATATATATATATATATTTTGGGGAAATATATGATGTTCTATACCAAATCTTCTTTTAAAAAATATAATTAAATGAATAGAATATTAAAAATATCATCTCATTATCTAAAAGATAATACAAAACCTAAGTGATCTTAGAAAATCTAAATATATAACAAATCTAGTCCTTAAAGAATCTATTTGAACAACTTCTCCATAGAAGAACATGATAAGATCTGAAGAAAATGTATTAAAACAAGCCAGCAAACCAAACCATACATATCATTATTTTAATATATTCATAAATAACATTCTCATAGTTATATATACATACCTAATGAGGCAGAACGAGAACTGGCTGGTTTTGATCCAAAAGTGAGAAGATGAAGAAAGCTTTGAAGTTAGTGGTTCTTTTTCTCTTTGCTATTCCACTATGCGGCCATGCGGAGGAATTCCCGAAGACATGTTCGAACCTTCCTCCACTGGAATCATCTCACAGCTTTCGATACGAAGTCTCCAAAAACGAGTCTTTAAGAGTCGAAGCTATGGCTCATTATTACAAGCACGCCCATCATCATCATCATCATGAATCGCCATGGCCCGACCTTCCCAGAAAGATGCTGAAAGAAGAAGATGCATATGAGAGGGAAGCCATGTACAGAGGGATGAACAAGGACGGTGAATATTCGCCTCCTCAAGGTGTTCTTAGACCAGTGTCTCTGCACGATGTGAGGTTGAACCCAGATTCGCATCATCATACTGCCCAGAACACGAATCTGCAGTATCTGTTGATGTTTGATGTTGATCGTTTGATTTGGAGCTTTAGGAAGACGGCTGGTTTGCCTACTCCTGGTGAACCTTATGGAGGCTGGGAAGGTCCTTATATTGAGCTTCGTGGTCACTTTGTTGGTTAGTATATATGTTTTTTTTTTTAACCTATAGCTATCTTTGTACTACCGGTCCTTCTCGTTTATAATTTACAAACGAGATCTTATAATTAGGACTGGAGGTAGTATATTGAAATCACGAGTTGCCTCATCTCTGCTGCTGCTCAATTTTTCCACTACTTTCCAAATGTTTTTTTTCCGATTTCTTTTTTCTATTAGATTCTACATGTTGAAATTTTGATATCTCATGGTTAAAAAAATGGTATTGTTTTTAATGTTTTATGATTTTTTTTTAAAAGAGTATGCATCCTAAAATTAGTGTTGCTGTTTCTTCTTAATTTAGACCCAAATTCTTTGAGAAATCATAAAAATTGAAACAGCACCATTTTTGACTGATAATATGTCAAAATTTCACTAACTTTATTTAAAATCTAATATTAAAAAGAAACAAGGAAAAACATTAAACAAGAAGGGAAAATTGAGAGGGGCAGCTCATACCTCAAATCCAACACTGCCATGGGACAATTTTGGATTAACATTTGCAAGAGAAACTTTTATCTGAAAGTTGACCAATTTAAGTTAATTACAGTAATGTTATTTATATTTAGATGGAAAAAAGTCAATTAACTTTTGGGACTGATGATTATTTCAGGTCATTATTTGAGTGCAACTGCGCACATGTGGGCAAGCACTCACAATGAAGCAGTGAAGGAGAAGATGGATGCCCTTGTTGGCAATCTCTCTTTATGTCAGAAGAAAATGAACACCGGATATCTCTCTGCATTTCCAACCGAGCTCTTTGATCGTCTTGAAGCTCTGGAATTTGTCTGGGCTCCCTATTACACCGTTCACAAGGTACTTATTATATTATATTCTAATAACTCATCGGATATTTAATATAGGACCTAATTGTTAAGTTAATTTTTGTTCTAAATATAAGATCTATTTCTCATATTTATCATTTTATCATAAATTACTCCTATGGATACTTTCTCAACCATAATTAAGTAAGTGAGGGAGGAATAATATTAAGAAAGATGATTATGATGTTTTAGGAAAAACATGTCAAATTTCTTATAGTTAACTAACTTACCCAACTTTTTTAATCTAATTAAATTAGTTAAATAGGTCATATACCGGAGGAGTATTAAAAAAGGTGTTTGATATTATCCACGTTACGAGGCTCGGACTCATGATCAATAATAACCAAACATGTGTGTGTGGGTATGAATAATACAGGTAATGGCGGGGCTGTTGGATCAATATACGTTTGGGGAGAACGAGGAGGCATTAAGGATGGTGACGTGGATGGCGGATTACTTCTACGACAGGGTGATGAAGTTTGTGGAGAAGAACACAGTGCCCAAGTTCTATGAGATATTGAACGATGAGTTTGGTGGAATGAACGATGTGCTTTATAGGATTTACCACTTCACAGGCAATTCTAAGTATCGTACATTGGCTCACATGTTTGATAAGCCTTGCTTTTTCGGCTTACTTGCCACAAAGGTGCATAGCTATTTAATTAGTTAATTAATTAATTATAGTTTTGATGATTAATATTAAGTTTTGAATCTTATTGTTATTTTGCATTTTCGCAGTCCGGTGACATAACGGGTCTTCATGCGAATACTCATCTGGCCATCGTTATTGGAGGTCAAATGCGCTATGAGATTGTTGGTGACCCGCTTTACAAGGTAAATAAACACCCTCACATGGAATTAGTTTTGGTGCTCATCATGGTGATGTCGTTGCTTTAAAATATAAAACATTGAGATATAGTTTTAATGGTCTAGATTTAAGCTTTTTAACCAGTAATTTTTAAATAAAAAATTATTTTTTAAAAAACCTTACAGTTGAGATATTATATTTATTTTGGATTATGTATCTATTAACAAAAAATATTTTGTAAAAATATTAAATATTAAATTTTGATCATTTATATTAAATTTGAATGGTTGAAATTTAATGAGCATCATAGTACTCACCATGATGAGCACTGAAACTAGTTCTATACTCACATATATATCCTAACAGAGTAATTAAATATCTCTGCTTATCCTAAAACCTAGCCTGTTTTTAGAAAATTAAGGAAAATATTTTTAAAATAATTTTATTAATGAAAAAGAAAAAGATTTCCTTCGTCTACAATGCCATTTGCCCGTGTTTCTTTCTTTCTTTCTTTCTTTCCCGGGAGGGGGACATGCTCCTAAATCTTTGTTATGCTACAATTTTTCTTTTTGAAACATATCATCCAAAATAATCATCTTTAAAAGTTTCAACCCTATTGAAGTGGAATCATATAATTGTTTGATATTTGTCTAACGTTTGCTATTTTAATTTATATGTTAGGAAATATCCACATACTTTTTGGACCTTGTTAACACTTCACACGCATATGCGACTGGAGGCTCAAGCCAGTCTGAGCATTGGTATGTTTAATATATTTTCATTTATATTTGCAGCTATTACTTCACAAATATAGATAATTAACACACAGTATTTTTTTGTGAAAAAAATTCTCTTTCCTGCTATTTTTAAATGGGAACGGTTTAAATTTATCAGGCAAAATCCAGACAGAATGGGTGAAATTCTAAAATCCGACACCGAAGAGTCCTGTTCATCTTACAACATGTTGAAGGTACAATATATACACCCACATCCTGTTTTTTTTTTTTTTTTTGCCAACAAATATACACACAAATTAAATCAGTCAATTAAGTCTTATATTAAGGGCTAGAGAAGTATCATTTTCTTTAATTTTGGGAAAATATAGGTTCCGGTCTCTAAGGTTATGTATATGGTCAACTTCAGTCCAGATTTATTAACCATTAACATTATGGTCAACTTTGGTCAAGACTTCCGAAGAGCTGATGAATGTGTTGATTAAGCGGCAATGGCATGATGATGTGACGGCGATGTTTAGTAAAAGAGAGGAATTTAACCAAACTTAACGATAATTTCTCAGAATGGTTCCTTAATAGTATGAAAAAATACCATGCTCCCTCCTGTCCCTGTCATATCGACTTTCATGACATTTCATAATATAACGTATGGCAACCGTTTCAGCAACATATCTGGTATACAAATTATTTGACCAACAGGAAGTTCTTTATAATGTGGTGAATTAAGATTTGAATCCTTACTAAACGAGATGTTCATATTTAGTATCTGACAATATCTTAAACAATATTGCCTTTAATAGGCGGAGGATACCTATGCTTAGGGAAAAAAAATCTTCTTATTCGAAGCGTGCAATTTTGCTCTGAGTCTTAATTAACTGTGCTTTCCTATAGGTTGCTCGGAATCTATATAGATGGACAAAAGATGTATCCTATGCAGATTATTATGAGAGGACATTAACAAATGGAGTGTTGGGCATACAAAGAGGGACAGAACCTGGGGTTATGATCTACATGCTCCCACAAGGTCGTGGTGTTTCCAAGGCTGTTTCAAATCATGGTTGGGGCTTTAAGTTTGATTCCTTCTGGTGCTGTTATGGCACTGGAATCGAATCCTTCTCTAAGCTTGGAGATACCATTTATTTTGAGCAAGAAGATACAGCCAATACAAACCCTACTCTTTATATTGCTCAATATATCTCAACTACTTTCAACTGGAAAGCTGCCAACTTCCTCCTCAATCAAACTCTCTCGACTTATTCTTCTTATGACCCTTTTGTCCGTGTCACCTTCACATTTTCTCCCCACCAGGTATTTTATTTATTTATTTATTCAATTCCTATATTTTCTTCAACATTATTCATGACTTTGAATAGTGTCATTTGATTATACTCCTCCGGTCCTTAATATAAGACCCATTTAACTAATTTGATTAGATTAAGGAAGTTAGGTAAGTTAGTTAATTATAAGAAAAGTGACACATTTTTCCTAAAACACCATAATCATCTTTCTTAATACCCCCTCTCTCTCTTCTACTTGATTATGATTGAGAGAATATCTATAGGGGTAATTTAGAGAAAATTGATAAATATGAGAAATGGGTCTTATATTTAGGACCAAAACTAACTCAAGATTGGGTCCTATATTAAGGACCGGAGGAGTAGTACATTTAATTCCTAATTTTGTAGATATATATGCTCTAAACATGCAAATTAACCTACTTTTGTAGGGAGAAGAAGTGCCGTCTTCTACATTAAACCTTCGTATACCGACATGGACATACGTAATGACACAAGTGCTTTACTCAACAACGAGCCTTTGAACCAGCGTGTTAATGGAGGTGAATATAAAGAAATTCATTTACTTTCATTTCAAAGAAAAATTAGAGAAACAGACGTTAATAGCCTGAAATTATAAGCAGAATCAAACCTGCGATTTTTTATTTCTATAGGAGTGTATATTCATGCCATTGGGCTACTAGGTCATTATTATACATCAAGATTCATTTAGTTATATTCATGATACTATGGAAAAGCTTCGATCCATCATTGCTTTAATTTTGCTCTTGCTGAAGCTGATTCGAGATTAAACAAATATTTATTCAATGATCCATATTTCTTAATTTGGTTTAATACTACCTCCAGTCCTAATTATAAGAGCTAGTTGACTAATTTGAGAAAATTAAAGAAAGAAGTTAAGTTAGTTATTTATAATAAATAGGCGTTATCTTTCATAAAATATCCTTGTTAATTAAGTGTATGGGCTAGAGCTATCATTGTTAGAAGGATTATTTTGGAAAAAAAATGCATAAATACGAGAGACAAAGTTAATTGTGATCTTATATTTAAGACCAAAATAAAAACCAAACAAAATCTTATATTAAGGACCGGAGGTATTATTACTCACCAGGTATTAATTAATATCTAATATCTGATTATCTTTCTGTGAATATGTTCATGTAGGGTCATATTTGACTATAACAAGAAAGTGGAGCGCCGGTGACAATCTCACCCTCATCTTTCCCATCACCCCAAGATTGGAACCCATAAAAGGTAACTGGTATATATATATCTCTGTGTGTGTGTGTGTGATGATGATGATGATTTGAATTCATAATATCTCAAAAATGATACAATAATTCACTTGATTTATTTTTCAGATAACAGGCCAGAATATAAAACTGTTAATGCGATCATATTTGGTCCATTCCTTCTTGTGAGCCACACGGTTGGGGAAGAATGGGACCTCCAAGTTTCTGATCTGAACATGAAGCCAGAAGATTATTTGCATGCAATCCCAGCCACTAATCACAGTCACCTCTTCACTTTCTCACAAGACTCTGCAAACTCAAGCTTCGTCTTGACCAACCTTAACGTCACCGACAGTAAAACGTTGGCCATGGAGAAATTACCTCAGACCGGCACCGTCAGAGCCACTCATGCGACCTTCAATCTGGTCTTACTAGACAGTATTAAAGACACATTATTTGCAGATATTAATGATGTTCTTGACAAGCCGGTCTTGCTCGAACCAGTTCATCTTCCTGGGAGGCACTTGATTCATCAAGGGCCAGGGAAACCTTTATTGCTCTCCAACTTTTCCACTGGTTCTTCCGATTATCAGTCTTCACAGTTCAGAGTGGTTCATGGGTTAGACGGGAGAAACGGCAGCGTTTCTATTGAATCAATGGGCAACAAAGGTTGTTTCTTGTACAGTGGTGTAGATTATAGCGAAGGTGAAGAAGTGAAGCTCAAGTGCAAATCTGCAGATTCATCGAATGGTACAAGTACAACGTTGTTCAACAAGGCTGTCTCTTTCGTTGCCGCTAAGGGACTCAAAGAGTACCATCCCATTAGCTTTATTGCTAAGGGCTTAAACACGAGTTATCTCATGGAGCCTATTCACTCCTTTGCAGATGATTTTTACACCCCCTACCTCAATATTCATCCTTGATTATTAACTATATATTAGGTTTTTCCAAAATTTTATTAGAGCCTTAGTTAGCTAGTTAATTATAAATAAATAAAACTCTACTTTGATTTCTCTCAAGGTTTCTGCTTTTTTTGGTGTTTTTTTTTGGTTGCCAACAATTTGGGTGTTGTTATTGGATAACTCTTAGTTGAAGAGTTTGTTACATAATTAAATAGAAACAATGATTATTTACATTACGCAAGCTACTTCCTTGAATTTGACTCGAGTTGCGTGGTCAGTTTAATTTCTTGCGATCACAATCGCCTATGTTTTAAGTAATCATTTCATTAAGCAGCTTGTTAAATTATATTCCTTTATCAGTCAGATAATTAATTTGCAAATATCAATAAATTTAATTCAATTATTTGTCATAAATTTATGTTTGTTTATTTAAAGGAGTACTTCATTTGATCCTCCCAAGTCCCGACCCCTTTCATAGATGCAATCAAACAGCAAAAAAAAAATTTATAAATTTGTAAAAAAAATTGAAATTTTATATTTAAGATCAAAATAAACATTCCAACTAAATTCTATATTTATGGTAGAAGGGATTACTTAAATTCCTATATTTATGATGGAAATGATTACTTAAATTATTGTTTATGGAGTAGATAATGTTTGACGGCTTCTCTTCTCAAAAGTCAATACCAGAGGATGCACATAAAAGACAAAATAAATTTAATTTAAATTATCTATTCATCTTTTATTAAGATTTTTCAAAATTTAAAATTTAAAATTGCACTAGCCATTGATAGTCTCCATATTGGATAAAAATTAATTGAAGATTCTAAGAATTTTTTGATCCTACAAAGTTTGTTTTTATTAAATATAATTACTATATTTTTATCATGAAAAAACTTTTATATTTTATATAGATGTTAATATGTTAATTTATGATCTTTCATTAAAATTTGGGTTAAATCAAAGTTACATGTTTCATTCTCCAGTACATGTTTGATTCTCTAAGTTTTTCCCCCTAGATTGATTCTCTAAGTTTACATAAATTCCAAATTAGTCTATTAAATTTTTTTTGGGGCCTGAAGCAAAAGTAGTCTATTAAATTCATAAAGTGTAATTTTCGTTCTTAATTTTGATACGTTAATTTTATTAGTATAAAATACGAACTCAACAAATCTAAACAGTGATTGTGCAATTAAATGCTAACATGTTAATATTTAATTTAAAATTCGTAAATTGAAAATATTTAATCACAAGACAATTTGATGAAAAATATGTTATAATTTTAAATATTTGTCAATTAACAAATTTTTAAACTGAAGAGCAATAATGGCAGCATTTCATTGCAAAGTGAACATTTTTAGTTAATGAAATTAACGATGTTAATAGTAAACGATTCCTGGCCAAAAAAAATATTAAACGATTGAACATACACTTCATAAGCGTAATTGAACCGAAATTTGTCATAAATTTAAAAGAGAAAGGTATACTTTAACTTTAAAATATGGAGATGGGAAAAGAAACTTTAAATTTTGGCATTTTATAAAACTATGAGAGAGCCACTAGAAAAGAAATATAAAAAATTCAATTTACTAAAAAATTAGGTAAAATATTCAATTAAGGGGAAATATGAAAGACAATCATGCTTTGATACAAGAACCGTCTACCTCTAGCCAAAGCTAATTGGAGGCTGCCACTTTTTTGTTTTTTTTCTCTTTTTCAAATCAACGTTTTTTACTTTGAAGTATTTTTTTAAGGGAAAATTTCACTGTAGGACCGCAGAAGACAATTAATATCAAAGAGCCCCCAAAACTTTCTGAAACCTCACTGCAGGACCAAGAGACCAATTTGATATTAATTTTTAGAGTGAGATTACAATAATACCCCTCCCTTTTTATTTTATTAAAAAAATAAATATTTACCGGAGTTACTGTTCCGGCCACCGGCGCTCAGGTGGCCGCCGTCAGGGTCCGGTCACCGGTGGCCGGAACAGTAACTCCGGGGGACCTCCGGTGGCCAGAGTTTTTTTGTTTAAAACAAAGTGACCAAGGGAGGGTTTGAACCCAGAACCCCTTGGCACACCAAAAGACTTGTAACCACCAAGCCAAGCAACCCATTCAATCATAAAATGCAAATAAAACTACATATAACAAAATAAACGCAACAGTCCAAATGTAAGTGAACAAGTGAAATTAGACGATTTACAAGTGGAATTCAGAAATTTGCAACAAAAGTTAGGCAATTTACAAATAACATAATAGAAGTCATAACTCAAAATGCAAGTGTTTAAGTGCAAATGAGCAAGTAAAATTTGAAGATTTACAATAAAAGTTTATGGATTTACATCCCAAATTTGGTAAACACAAGAGAATTCACAACCCAAAATGTAAGTGTTTGAGTGTAAGTGAACAAGTGAAATTAGACGATTTACAAGTGGAATTCATCAATTTACAACAAAAATGAGGCAATTTACAAATAACATAATGGAACTCACAATCCCAAATACAAGTGTTTAAGTGTAAATGAGCAAATAAAATTTGAAGATTTACAACAAAAGTTTAAAGATTTGCAAGTGAAATTCGACAATTTCACTTGTTCATTTGCACTTAAACACTTGCATTTGGGGTTATGACTTCTATTATGTTATTTGTAAATTGCCTAATTTTTGTTGTAAATTTCTGAATTCCATTTGTAAATCGTCTAATTTTACTTGTTCACTTACACTCAAACACTTACATTTTAGGTTGTGAATTCTCTTGTGTTTACCAAATTTGGGTTGTAAATCCATAAAATTTTATTGTAAATCTTCAAATTTCACTTGCTCATTTGCACTTAAATACTTGCATTTGGGGTTATGATTTCTATTATGTTATTTGTAAATTGTCTAATTTTTGTTGTAAATTGCTGAATTACACTTGTAAATCGTCTAATTTCACTTGTTCACTTACACTCAAACACTTACATTGTGGGTTGTGAATTCTCTTGTGTTTGCCAAATTTGGGTTGTAAATCCATAAACTTTTATTGTAAATCTTCAAATTTCACTTGCTCATTTGCACTTAAACACTTGCATTTGGGGTTATGACTTCTATTATGTTATTTGTAAATTGTCTAATTTTTGTTGTAAATTGCTGAATTACACTTGTAAATCGTCTAATTTACTTGTTCACTTACATTCAAACACTTACATTTTGGGTTGTGAATTCTCTTGTGTTTGCCAAATTTGGATTGTAAATCCATAAACTCTTATTATAAATCTTCAAATTTTACTTGCTCATTTGCACTTAAACACTTGCATTTTGGGTTATGACTTCTATTATGTTATTTGTAAATTGCCTAACTTTTGTTGCAAATTTTGAATTCCACTTGTAAATCGTCTAATTTCACTTGTTCACTTACATTTGGACTGTTGCGTTTATTTTGTTATATGTAGTTTTATTTGCATTTTATGATTGAATGGGTTGCTTGGCTTGGTGGTTACAAGTCTTTTGGTGTGCCAAGGGGTCCTGGGTTCAAACCCTCCCTTGGTCACTTTGTTTTAAACAAAAAAACTCCGGCCACCGGAGGTCCCGCCGGAGTTACTGTTCCGGCCACCGGTTACCGGACCCCGACGGCGGCCACCTGAGCGCCGGTGGCCGGAACAGTAACTCCGGTAAATATTTATTTTTTAATAAAATAAAAGGGAGGGATATTATTGTAATCTCACTTTAAAAATTAATATCAGATTGGTCCCTTGGTCCTGCAGTGAGGTTTCAGAAAGTTTTGGGGGCTCTTTGAGATTATTTGCCTTCTGCGGTCCTACAGTGAAATTCCCCCTTTTTTTAATGCTATTCAATATCCTGCAATAATTTTTAGTACACTTGACATCCAGCCCAATATCGAGCAAGCTGCACTTTTAACTATTTTTTCAGTAACACCCATTATTTTTTCAGTACTAATTTTAGGATATAGAGTGTTATTAAGAAAAATAATGGGTGCTACTGAAAAAATAGTTAAGAGTTTTAGGATATTAGGTGTCATTACAAGAAAAATAATGGGTGATACTGAAAATATAGTTAAAAGTGTAGCTTACTAAATATTATGTATTGCTAAAAATATTTTTAGGTATCGGGTGCACTAAAAATTATTTTAGAATAATATATGTTATTATATTCTTAACTACTTTTAGGATATTGGGTGTTATTACAAGAAAAATAATAGGTGCTACTGAAAAAATAGTTAAGAGTGCAACTTGCTAGATACTAGGCATAACTAAAAATATTTCTAGGTATCAGGTGCACTAAAAATTATTTTAGGATAATAGATGTTACTTAAAAATACATCAAAGTAGAAAATGTTGATTTGAACAAAAAAAAAATGGCAGCCTTCAATTCTGGTCTCAAAACGGCGTAGTTTTTGGGTAGAGGAGGAGGGGATGGATGATAAGGGTTGAGGAGGGTGGCGGGTTCCTTTGATACAACCTCTGATTTTGTATTGGGGATTTATAATTTTATACTACGGTTCTAATTATAAGACTCAATTGACTAATTTGAGGAGATTGAAAAAAGAAGTTAAGTTAATTATTTGTAATAAATATGTATTGTTTTTCCTAAAATATTCTTACTAATCAACTATATTGGCTAGGACTACAATTATTAGAAGGACTAAGTTGAGAAAAAATGCATAAATATGAGAGACAAAGTGAATTGGGGTCTTATATTTAGAACCAAAATAAAAATTAAATAAGGTATTAAGAACCAGAGGTAGTATTTTGGAGTTTGGACAGGTCATCACTTCCAACCCCTTGTGATCTTTTCTTAATTCCATCCTTGCCAAACACAGTCAAATGACGTGGAGACAATTGGCAAAGGTCTGCCACGTGGCAGCAAGAGAGCCCCTATAACCTGATCCATTGACAAGAATCTAATCCAAACTGAGCAAAAATCATCATCCATCCGTTTCCAAGCGCCACATTTCCATTGACTCATGAGTATCACAAACCCCGCATCCAAATTCAATTCCATTTCCAAGCTCACGATTATTACTACCATTCTCTGCAATTCACAGAGCGCTTAGGAGCTAGAGTGGTGAGTTTGGAACTGTTCACGAAAATGGCCTCCACTCAATGCTTCTTGCACCACCACGCCCTCAGTACCGCTACTTCTTCTCCTACTCGTTCTTCTTCTCCTCAGCGTCTAGTGCTACACAACAAGCCAAACCAGATTGTTTGCAAGGCCCAGAAGCAAGACGATGACGGCAGCCTCGTCTCTCGCCGACTTGCTCTTACTGTGCTCATTGGGGTCGGTGCTGCTGCCTCGAAGGTCTCTCCTGCTGATGCTGCCTATGGGGAAGCTGGTATTGTCCTTTTTTCATTCTTGTGATGATGGAGAAATCTGTAGTGATTAGTGATTGATATGAGAATTTGGTATCACGCATAACCCAAAATTGGAAACGATGATGTTAATCAAGTTCTGGACAGAGAGACAAAGAATGAGTTTGTGATGATAGAGTCTACAATCTTCACTTTTGAACTGAAAAACCCATGTGGGGTGATGGAAATGCGTACTGTTTCATTTATTCGTCAAATGATTACTATACATATTACTCATGTCTTTGGTGAAATATTGCTGGTAATTAAGGAAGTTGGTGTATTGCTTTCTCCGAGAATTTATTTTATATCTGGTGCCATGCCATGACTACTTGAACTGCTTTGCTTTGCATTCTAACTGTTTGTGGTAATTAAAGCTTACGATTTACTCTGGGTCGATTGAGTAAAACTAGGCTGCAGATGTGCAATGAAAAAGGAACTGAGTTAATTGGATCTCGTCTGAATGGTTAAGATCAAGCGAATTCTTTGGGAAAATTGATCAAATTATGATTGCTTTGCCTGCAGCCAATGTGTTTGGAAAGCCAAAGACAGACACTGACTTCATTGCCTACAACGGAAATGGATTCAAACTCTCAATCCCCTCCAAGTGGAACCCCAGCAGGGAGGTTGAATACCCAGGTCAGGTTCTAAGATATGAGGATAACTTCGATGCCAACAGCTACGTCACAGTCACAGTCACTGATACTGATAAGAAATCCATTACTGACTATGGTTCACCTGAGGAGTTCCTCTCTAAGGTAAATTCGTGACAAGCTTCCACTTGTTTATGGATAAAGGGCTTTTTTTTTTTTTTTTTTTGTTATAGAAGCATACCTTTTTTGTATGACAGCAACTTCTGACTTAAACTCAAGAGTTGATTCTGCTTCTTTTTCAGGTGGATTATTTGCTAGGAAAACAAGCCTACTTTGGCAAAACTGATTCCGAGGTAATTAGATGGTTTGCTCTGTAACAGAACTATCTCGTGCCTACAGATTGTACACTTGGTTTAAAATCTATGTACAGACACACTTGAGTGTTTCATACAACTGCACTGCCATTGTAAAACCATCTTGACGAGAATCGTGAGATCATCAAATGGGAAATTTATTTCTTTATCATGTCCTTTGTTATTCAAAGCTGATATGTTAAAATGTGAGTGTTTCAACTGCTGATAGTAAAAGAGGAATGAGGCATGATGATCAGTTTAACAAGAATTCAGTCACAGACAGAGTTGATCACTTTTAGGCTTTGGCCTTATAAGAACAAACCAGACAACCTTGTGTGATTTAACGAGTTCTAAACTTTATTAACTGGCCAGGGTGGGTTCGAAGCAGATGCCGTGGCGACAGCAAATATCTTAGAGAGCTCATCGCCCGTGATTGGTGGGAACCAGTACTACTCTGTGACAGTGCTGACAAGAACTGCTGATGGAGATGAAGGCGGGAAGCACCAATTGATCACAGCAACAGTGAAGGATGGTAAGCTTTACATATGCAAGGCTCAAGCAGGAGACAAGAGGTGGTTTAAGGGGGCAAGGAGATTTGTGGAGAGCGCAGCAAGCTCTTTCAGTGTTGCTTAACAATTTTTAATACGTCAAAGGACAATCTGTATGTAAATCATCAACATGTGCATCTTAATTCCTAATTCATGTTTTGAGTTTCTTGGCCTTCCTTTTTTGTTTTTTGTCCCCCTTCCCCCCAGAGTTTCATTATTTTGAGGATATTTGTTATGATTTTAGCGTGTTTGGGATGAGGGAGTTTATAGATACTCGGTTGATTTTCACTGGGGTTCAATTCCCATTCACAGAATCTTTGTCAACTGCTAGCTTGAAGTGTATCAGCTCAAGCAAATTTGCAAACAAACACAATCATATATTCATATTCAATTAAGCATATTCAATCAAAATCAAAATGCACAATATCTTCCCTTGCTTTTTGCAAACTATACTGCTGCAAACAAAGCCTTTGAAAGGAAAATTTGTTATGAAAATTAAATTAAAGTCAAGATAATGTTATAGGTGGACTTCACCAAAGTACTAATAAAGCTAATCACGCAATAGTGCAACCCCAAATTGTGCGAGGGGCAACTTGCGTAATGGTAGAAATCAAGCAATGAACTAACGTGCAAAAGGGAGCAAAGCGGGCGGACTAAGTCAAAGAGTCAACAAAATCAACCCCAAGTACCGAGAATGGGTATCCAGATGTGAACCGTGCGGGAAGGAGAGAGCACAACGTGTGCTCTGTTCAAGATGAGGTAATTTTAACCCCTCCTACCTCTCATCCCTACTAGTTTGCTGGTAAATTGAATTCAATTATAAATATAAGATTTCAATCAATTTTATTCTTACACCAATAGGGAACGTGAGCTGAGTTAAGACCGTTGTGAGACAGGTTAATTTTACCCTACTGATGACAGTGTCACAATAGTAATTCAACCTAGTGTAAAAGAAAATGTTGATTCGGACAATTGGTTATCGCATTTGGTTTATCATTTTTTAGAAGAACTAGAAGATTGAAAAAATTTAAACTATGAAAGGCATCCGATTTAATACTATTTAAATAATTATATTTTTTTTTTAAAAAAAAACTCATGAACTTCAAGCTCATGGAACACTTGTGTTCTGGTAATTTATGGTGATACTTTTCGTGTTCGTTTGGTCAATAAATTTATGTATTTGGTTTTATATTTCGCTTCATAAAATTAAATATTAAGAATAGTTTCCAAAGTTAGATAGGGTTCGCTTTTGAGGTGCTTTAAATATTAATAATAAGCGCGAACTTCTTTTACACCCACAAAACACATTTCTGCAACGTGGTCCTTGAAGAAACATACAATGCTTCAATTTGGTCATCTAAATATGAATGTTCAATTTCCACGCTTGATATGCTCACCATAAGATTATTTAGTGGAGATAAGTGACGGGTTAACAGAGAGTTTATATGATCATCAAGTAAATATTATGCAAGTATGTATGAAGTTTCAATAGGGCCATGACCAATGTGTTTAATTGTGAGGTTTTTAACTTGTAACTAATGAGAGTTAGTAGAAAGGGTTAATTTCTCACAACGTAGTAAATTAATATTTGAATTTTCACTTGAAGAAGCACTTACATTTAGTGCCAATAGTACTTCGAATGAGAGTGCTTCCAATAGAACGATACATATGTATAACAAAAAAAATTCTAATATGTGTTAATATAGATAACGTTTTAAGAGAGTTATTCTCAATTGGGTCTGATGATATTTAACTAATGAGAGTTAGCAAAAGGAATTAGTTTCTCACAACGTGATAAATTAATATTTAAATTCTTACTGTGAGAAGTACGTACATTTGGTGCTTAACAGTATCTCAAATAGGAGTACTTTCAATAGAAAGATACCTATGTGTAACAAACAAAAAATTCTAGTTTGTGTTAATGTGAAAAGCGTCTTTAGAAGAGTTATTCTCAAATAGTTTTGATAATACTTAAATACTCTTGTAGTCTTAAATATAAAACTCATTTTATAGTGTAATTTATACTACAAAAAGGGTTTTATATCTGGGACTGAAGAAATATAATTCAATTAGATAGTCATATAAAGAAAAAATACAACCATCACCATATCAAATTATCAAGTGACTTATCCCTCTCTTCTCTCCTCTGTCCTGAATACAAATTCCTGTATAAGAGTTTGTTTTAGTTTTACATACAAGAACTTAATCTTTTTTATCTTTCAAATTTATAATTTTTTTTTGCTAAATTCTTTTTATTAACGGCACATATTTCAGAAAAAACCATACATATATTTTTTTTATAAATATCTAACTATTTGTTTTAATTTTTACAAATTAACTATTCAGTTCTTACAGTATTATATATCAAAATATTTATGTTGGATGGTTTTCTTTTTCTCTTGGCGTAAACCTAACTAAATTGATACTATCAATCAAATGCTAAAAATGATTGACTAAGAAAATGATGCTTAATAATATTTGAAATTACACCAATGCATTTAGTTAGGTGAAGAATTAAGGTTGAAATTGAATGATGAGAGATTAGAAAACGTGGATGGTTGCGTTGAGGAACCAATAAAAAGGGTGATGGTTTGAGGAGCAAGGAAGGTATATACCATAGCCATACCAATGCCAGAAGAAAGGAAGAGCCCAAAAGAGATTGGCAAAGGCGCAAGGGGGTGATCGTCATTTCGCGAGCGTAGTAGAAAGAAAGAAGCAGCTAAAGGGAAGGACAGGACAACAGAGAAAGAAAAAAGAAAATCAAAATTGAGAATTCCTGTGGGATTATTATTTATGTAATTCTCATTCCTTCCTTCCTCCTCCCTCTGCATATATAAATACCCCGTTCATCATCTGAAACCTTAGGGACAAGTTTTAGTTTGGGTGGGATTTTCGGCGTCTATTATCTCTGGTAACTGAAGCCAAGAACCGTCCAAGAACAAGTCGTCGGCGCGGTTGAAGTCACGATCGCGCCTCCGGCCTACTGCGGATCGTTCCCCTGCTGTTTGGGTAAGTCGGCGGATCGTTGTAACCGTCGTCATCTTATCCGGGTTCTTGTTCTGCTGTTTTTGGATCTGTAACTTTTGATGCCGATTCCTGTGTTTTACCTTGGTTTGATGGTATCTCTAATTTTTTGGGCCTTGGTTTGTTTGTTTCCGCGTAAAGTGGATTTTTTTTTTTTGGTTCCCTACTGTTGAGTCCAGCCTCTTTCTGGATGGGTGTTTTTGTATTTCATATAGTCTCTGCAGGACCTTTGCTGGGCATCGAGCTAATCTTTCATTTTTCGGTAGACTTTGTTAGTAACATTGTGCTTTGAAGCGGTACAGCTTGAATTTATTGCTCTTCTTCTTTGCCGTATTCATTTATTGTTTCAATGGAGGAGAAATTGAAGTTAAGATTATATGTTTAAACTCTGTAGCTTAATTTTTATGGTATTAACTGCTGATTCTTGGACCATTGATATGCAGGGATTTCTTTCTTTTGCGATTCTTCTGAGGTTTTTCCTGAGTTAAGTTATACTCTTGTATTGTTTTTCAAAGCTGAAAATATATATGGGCTGAGGTGCACATTTCATGGGAGGTGTGGAGGATGAAGAACCAGCCTTAAAACGAATGAAATTATCCTCTAAGGGATCAGTAGCCCTCTCAAACGGTTCATCTTCTGTTGAGCCCATTGGTGGCTCTAGTGATTTGATGGCTCGGCCCCTACAATCAGAAGGGGACGAAGATGTAGTTGGTTCAAAAGGAGTTATTAAAAGAGAGGAATTTGTCCGGATCATTGCAAAGGCTTTATACTCCCTTGGCTATAAAAAGAGTGGAGCACATTTAGAGGAGGAGTCTGGAATACCTTTACATTCATCTGTGGTAAATCTGTTTATCCAGCAAATAGTTGATGGTCATTGGGATGAAAGTGTCGTGACATTGCATAATATTGGTCTAGCAGATGAAAACACTGTCAGGTCAGCCTCCTTTCTAATTCTGGAACAGAAATTTTTTGAGCTTTTGGATGGGAAAAGATCATGGATGCATTGAAGACCTTGAGGACTGAGATTGCACCACTTCGTATCAATAGTAGTAGACTTCGTGATCTTTCTTCTTGCATTGTGTCTCCATCTCCTTGTGGCAAAAATGGTTCCACTAAGCAAGGTATTGTGAAGGCGAGGTCTCGTTCAAAATTGCTGGAGGAATTGCAGAAACTGCTCCCTCCAACAGTATTGATTCCTGAGAGGAGGTTGGAACATCTAGTTGAACAAGCCCTTATCTTGCAAAGAGAGGCTTGCTTGTTTCACAACTCATTGGATAAGGAGATGTCATTATACTCTGATCATCAGTGTGGGAAAGATCAGATACCGTCTAGAACATTACAGGTTAGAGATGATGTCTTAAGTTATTTAAGGCAATACCATCCTTTTATTATTTGTTGATTGAAGAATTAAATCCTGTCTAATAGTTGAAGCTGTTTCCCTTTTCTTTTTTCCTCCCAGTAGGTATTTTATGCAGAGATCGTTATTTGGTTCTTACTGTTGTATGAAATACTGTATTTTCTTGCTACATCTGGTGGTGATACTTCATTTTATGTTGCAAAGTTCTAGATTTGTGAATATTAATCTGGCTGTGAGTGGCAATGACCATTGGGTTTCATTTTCTTCTAGGATCTTCAATTCCCTCATTGATATTGGATGACTTAAACTATTCTTATTGGATTATATTTACCGGTTTAATTATAACTAGACATGTTTCCCATGCATTGCAAGATAAGTTGCATCGTTCATGCTTATAATAGCATGACTTCTTATAGATTTCATTTTATATATTTATAATAGCATTACTTCTTATAGAGTTCATTATCTTGAATGTAGGACCTAATTTAAGAGTTGATGTTGATCTTATATGTAAAATCTATTTCACATGTTTATCAATTTTTTCCCCCTTTATTGATAATCCCTCAACAATAATCAAGTAGGAGAGGGAGAGAAGGAATGAATGAAGATGATTATGGTTTTAGATAAAATATTCATATTGATGAATTTAACCAACATCCTTAATCTATTTAAACTAGTTAATTAGGTCTTATATTAAGGACAAGGTGAGTATATATTTATACTGGATGTTCCTGCATCACTTTCCTACTTATCGACTTTTACTAGTCTTGTGTTGATTCCTTTCTTTATTCAATCCGAGTTAAGTACTTCTCTGGACATTGGGGAAGTGTTGACTCTGCTACATTTTTAGGAAACTGCATCTACTTATAGTGATATGATGCCTTTACCTTTGGTATATTGGCTGTTAGCTGCCCTACTTTAAATAGTAGCATCGTCACTTTTGTATGACACGGTTGGTGGGATCTCCATGGGCACAAATTTTTGACATTTCACCTAGTTCAACGACTTGAAGCATGCTGCTCAAAGCAGAAGGATGCCCTTCAGAAGACCCCACGTCACATGAATGATTTGCTTGCACTTTAGGTGCAGTGATGTACAAGTTGAAGTTTTGGTGAAAAAGATCCTTCTGTCCCCATCAGTTCTCCATCAATGCCATATCCAGCACCGGTAGTCACGTTGTGTCCCCTTGAGACGACTGGCACACCAGTGCGATACTTATTTAATCAGAATTATCTTGCTGTACTGTAATACTTTCCAAGTCCAGTCAAAGGATAAAGATCTGGTTTAGAAAAATTATTTTATTTTTATTTTATTTTCTTTTAAATTTTTTAATGGTGGTGAATAGGAATAAAAGGTATCCTTTAAAGCAAAGACAAACAATTTCAAACCCAAATCTGGGTTGGATGAAAGAGTAAAGCTATAGAATTTGTAGAATTTGCTGCTGGTTTAGTTGTTACCCCTTTGGTCTTATTTTTAGGGTATTTCCAGTGTATTTCACACAAAATAAAGAAAACTTTATACTGAATTTACTTTGTCTTAAAATATAACAACTTTCCAACTTTACCTTTATTTAATATATACACTTTCCAAGAGAATAACAAATAACAATCTATGCTATAATAAATGAAAGACATAATAATACGTTCATACTAAAAATTAATGATGTGTTTTATAATTTGACCAAGAAAAACCTTCTGTTTGC